TCTGCCCAGGTGCAAGCGGCTCTGGGCCACACTTCTCAATGTCCCACGCACCCGTGCAACTTGCGAAGCACACCTTTTGCACCTCAAGGGCTGCGCCTTAGGGGTTTAGGGTTTAGGGGTTGGGGTTTCGGGTTTTGGAGGGCTACTTGGAGGGCTTATAAGGGGCTTTTCAAGAGGACTCGGTTGGCTTTAAATAAGGGTTTCGGAGCTGGGTTGTAGGCTTAGGGCAGTGCGTCAAGCCGGGCGATCACTCTCTGCCTGCTCCGTGCGAAGTCGCTACAGAATGTGAACTTCCTAGCGGACATCTTCATAGGTAGATTTGTATGATTTGTTGATTCATTTTGGCAAGCTGAAAGGCAAACCTCTTCCCAAGACCTCCAGCCCACGCGCAGCCTCAATCTCCACATCTGCTCGCAGGACGGGGCGGTCCTGAAAGCTGCTGAAACAAACCCAACCCTACACCCCTAAAGTCAGTCTCTTCATGAGCCCGTCCTCCGTCTTCAGCAGCTTGTACATCGCCTGCAGTTGACGCCACTCACTCTCGTCCACACCTTGGTGCTCCGAGCTCACATTTTGCTCAGAATCCACTCAAACGGTCTGAATCTCACACTGCCCCCCCCCCCCCCCCCGAGCCAGAAAGAAACAACTTGAAGCTGCAGCTGTGGGACCAACGCCACCCTGCACCACAAACCAGTGGAGCCCGTCAAAGCACTGCGATTTGGCATTGGTGTGGAGAACACCTGGAGACGGGGCCTTCGAGGGGGAGACAGCTTGAGAATTGAAACCTTTGTGGTCGAAACCCCTAAACCCCTTTTTGAGAATCTGGTTGAAGGCCCGAAATTGGTTCAGGACGCAAGGCTTTGGTCTTTTTGGCATCTTTCGGCCTATACGCCTGTGGGCTTAGGAGGGACTTCCATGAACAGAATAGCATCCAAACCAAAACAAGCAGCCAACAATGCAGCGGCTGTGCTTGCAACCACTGGATGCTGAGGTCCGATCGCGACTGGTACCGCTACTGCTCTTTTCAGTGCTCGAAGTATCCAGACTGACACATTGAGAGCATTCCAGCTAACACCTCTATCACTCTCCCCTCCTGCCTTCCAATACTGCTTCGCGCTCGTGTTGCTGTTGCTTTTGCCGGTTTCTTGCTGGCACACTGTTAAAGGAAGGACTGCTTCTGAAATTCGAAGCAGCTCATTCCCAAATAGTTTTGAGGCAACTTGTCGAATTACATACCAGTATCTGCTTCTTACTGGTAGTGGTTACTCCCGTCCCTGTTCCTACTGTACTGCCCGACTACCCAAACCTAAACATTAGAGTCTACTGGGATTACTTCAGATTGCGGGGCATTTGCAGCAAAGGTGGGATGGAATCAGGCCCCCCTAAACCCTAAGCCCCGAAGCCCTAAACCTTCAACCCCCCCAAACCAGAGGGCACCCTTCGAGGCGGCTTCGGACAGCGGCTTCAGATCCAAGGTCTCCTGCGAGGCTCAAGAAGGGACTTTGGAGTGGGGCTTGGGGGCGGAGGAGTTGAGGCTTTTGGGCTGTTTTGGGTGGTTTTGGGGGGAGCCGCGGCAGTACTGGTCAACATCGCCTTTGCTTGGGGTTGCTTGGGGTACGCGTCGCTCATTCTGAGGCTCACCCTGCTGCAAGGTCGTTGCTCCCACGTCTATTCTGGTAAGAAAAACGACTGCCCAAATGCGTGAAGCCCCTTCCGCCCACTAACACCACCAGGCTCGAAGGTATTATAACTTCACCTCTCAAGCCTGATTTTCCCGGCAATCCGAAGCCCTGGTTCCCGTTAGTAACCGCACGGGCTGCTCCTCTGGTCGCGGCATCGGCATCGTTCCATTGTCTCAGTTCGGCTTAACGGTTTAGACTTAGGGCGGCCTCCACTGTAGCTCGTCTCTGTCTCTGTTTGTCGTGTCAACGTGTCTCAAAATGCTTTGTCCATGTCAGGTTATCTGGTTCGTCTGCTGCGCAGGACGCCATGTCGACAGTGTGCTTGGCTGCACCTGGGCCTGCGCAACACGGCCTAGAGGACCTTCAAGCGACAGAACCAACACGTGTTGAAGTGCAAGGAAGTTGCTGGCCAGCTTCTCTGCCTGTCCAGGGAAGACGTGCGCCTACCCTCCTTCGTGCGCTCAAAGCCCCAGCTGGTGCGGGAATTAAAGGACACATAAATCACATGAGGACACCCTCCCTCAGCCTCCGCTCACTTTTCAGTTCTGGGTTTTTGGAGCTGTAGGCTAAGAGCAATCAGCCCCGATTCCTTGCCTGGCTGCACAGCTGCGTCTCAGAAGAGACTCCGCACACCCACTGCAGCAGCTTCATGCCTCTCAACACGCGCATCTGCACGACTGCACGTTGGGGTTGCACGGCAGAGCGCTGCATTGTGGGACCTGTAGGGACCGTTTATGCTTGCGGTACCCAAGAAGGACCATGACTGAGAACATATCTGAACAGCCCTCACATGATGAAAGATCCCACGGCACCTCCGGACTTCTGTGCGAAGAGAGGCACCTCGATCGCCGCTCTGCCTGCGCAAGCAAGGCAGTTCCTTGGGGTTGGGATCGCTAAGCCTCATCTGGGTCAGTGGGCAGGTTGAAATCCAACAAGAGCGCGCAGCAGGAGCCCGTCCTGCGCACTTCTCGAACTGCAAGCGCAAGGCCAGGGACGCGTCCGTGACGAGAGCCAGGCCAGTCAACTCACAGCGCTCGTTGCCTCCATAATCCCGGGCTCGCATACCCCCACTGTTCCATGTTTCAAGTGCAAGCAACCAAGCCGCTCAGCGCCACAAGAAACATTGAAACTTAACACCCACGGTTGCAACTGCACCCAGACAGCACCTAAAGGCAGTCTGGCCCACCGCACCTATGTATACGGCAATGTTGGAGCTGTCGGTGTTGGCCTGTGAAGTTGCACGCCCTTTGTTGCACACACCGTCAAGTTGCACATTGAACGAATCTGAGGTTCCCACAATCCAGTCCCCGCCGAAATGAGTTGAATGTGCCCACTGGAACTGCCTGGACCTCCAGTGATCCGGCATGCCAAAATGCTCGGATCCGAATGTAGAGTCGTCTCCAGACTACACCCTGCAAACCTTATAGCATCTTGCAACTTATAACACTTCATCCGATCCTGCTGATTGCCTACCAGCGCCCCCCCTCCCCCCCCCACACATCTGGTACATGGTCCCACCCCTGGCCGAGAGAACTTCCATCACACGCTACCTCCTGCCATCCATCCAGTCCACAGCATCATCGCGCCGCTTGTGATTTCCACAGCAATCGCCACCACACAGCGCATGCCCAATGCTTTATAAGGTGTGGGACGAGAGGCTGCAGGCCCTCGTCGCAGAGGCCGGTCAGCTGCACCTCACGGCTAGAAGGTAGGGGTTCCGAGAAACGCGTTGTGTTGAGGCCGAAGTACCGCTGTGAGCTGCCCGTAAAGGGTTTCGGATGAAAGTTTAACTTCTCAATGTCCTGAAGCTGACATGGTGGTGCCGGCGTTGTGAAGAGATGGGGGCAAGCGCCTGCTGGTTCAGGGGCGCTGCCCTCAGCTTGCCCAGGTGGACATCCAACGAACTGGCGTACGAGAGGTGAGTAGATTGGGCTTGGGAAGGTGCACGAGGCGTCCAAGGTGCCCTAGCCTCACCCCTCAACAGCACCCCCTTGGCAGCTGTCCTCAGAACTGAGGTGTTTCCTAATGCCCAATCTTCTGCCAATCAGGTCAGCCAGACTCCATGATGACTGCAGGCCTCGGACTCAGGCATTCGGGCATGGTTCATTCAGAGGCTTTGCAGGTGTCTCAAGCTGGCCAGGCCGAAGGGCCTGCTTCCAGAACTTTAGGAGCGAGGAGGCTCGAAGTCGGCGTAGCAGTCCGGTTCGATCGCATTCCAATCACACGACGACCACAACAAGCCTTCAAGCCTTCAAGCCTGCCCATGGCCTAAAGTCCAAAGCTCCAAAACCTGCAGCAGCTTCAGCCCTTGCAGCTGCGAGGCCGCCAGTAGCCGGAGCTCAGTGGCTCGTCCTGCTCAAGGCACACGGTTTAGGTGAACTTCCACCCCGCAGGAATACACAAATCACTGCTCACAGCACGGCACAGCAAGCAGGAGACACAGAGTGCCCTTAAAATGCCCTAATTTTGAAATTCCATTTTGGTAATTACAGCATGTAGTTGTATAGGTTCATATTCATATATAGCGATATATGTTGCTGTATAAGTTGTTCTACAACCCTTAAATGCCCCAATGCACAACCCATGCACCGGTCCGCCAGCTTGTTGCAGCTGTCGACATTTGCCCCGGCGGCCACGCTCCAAAGGGCCCTCAGCAGATCGCGGAACTTGAAGGTTTAGGGTTTAGGGTTTAGGGTTTAGGGTTTAGGGTTTAGGGTTTAGGGTTTATCCCCCCCAAGCACAAAGCTCTCCGCAACAAGGGGAGGCTCCCAAGCTGTGGAGAGCACCCACGACACCCGGGATTCCAGCTCCAACTCACAACAGCACCAGACTTCTAAGTGGTGCTCCAAAGCCCCCTGGCCCCACCCCCCAACCTTGGATGCTCCAAGCGGCCAGGTCAAAGACCAGGAAGCCATGGAGTGAGCCATGGCTTCAGGTAAGAGCCGATTCGGGGGGAACAGGTCTTGACTTTTGCCCCCTTCTGATTCTGTGCAGAGCTCTCCTGTTGCGTCCGAATTTTGTCTCACTTATGTGACAGCAGTCATTGTTTCCTCCTGCCTGGCCGCTGAGCTAAGCAAGCTTTGCGATCATACCCTGAGCTTCTCTCCTAAGCCTGAGTGCGAGGGCGCCCGACGATTTCCTACCAGCAAGCTTTGCAGTCTCGACGAAGATGCTGGCCCTTAACGACCAACGCCCCGCAGCCCAGACCCACGCATCCTCATGTCCCTCATGTCCCTAATAACCCCAATCCCTCATGCCCCTTAAAACCCCAATAACCTTACGACTGCTAAGCCCCAATAACTCTATAAATCCGAACAGCTAACGCCCCCAACCCGAGCAGCACATCACCCCCATGCCAAGGCGGTCCCGTCCGAGCTCCGAGACTGCCTGCGTGATCTTCAACACTTGCAGCCGGTGGCCCTCAGACACCTGTTGATGCATAGGTTTTGGGGCTGTCGCTTAGGGTTTTCTTGAGGTGCTTGGAGGGCATTGGGGGGTTCAGGGCTGCGGGCTTCGGGAACCACCAGTAACGGTCAGCAGTACACGCTTGGCAGTCGCATGGCTGCAAATCTCTGAGCATCTCTGGCTTGCCAAAAAGACACACCGAACCACGTCGGGTACGAAGCGCGTGGCAGAAAGCTGTTCGTCCATGGACCGATCTGGGTGCCAGACGGCGGTGAGCTCGTTCGAGACAGCCGTCACTCGCGTCTCCGAGTCGCGCATGGCCGCTGCCTCAAAGTCATACCGATTGTCTGGTTGCAGTGCTGCCTGTTGAGCAACTTTCAAACATGTCTACAGCTTGGGTTTCCAGGAACCAGATCTTGGAGACCCTGGCGAGTCTCCCATGAAGCGGAAAAGCCTAAACCCTAAACCCTAAACCCTAAACCCTTAACCCTAAACTAGGCCCTAAACCCTAAACCCTTTCTTGGGCGCATGCGCGCCTGTGCTGCGCTCTGCGCCTTCAGGCGCTCCTCGACCAGGCGCTCGAGGCCGCGGCCGGAGTCCTCACAGGAGCTTCAGTTCTCCAAAGGTCCACTTGGGCAGGTTCTAGTTACTAATGGGCCCTTTTGGGGTTCCTGGCACAATATGCCATTATGCAGAAACCCTTGAATCCTCAGGGTGTTCAAGGAGGGACCACAATTTGCCCGCAACTAGACTACAAGCACAACATCCATCAACATCCTTCAACGCCGACGTGGCCGGTTGAGACGAGCCAACGCTGTGCACCGTGGCTCATGACTCCCACAGCCCCTTTTTTCTCCGCGGTTTGGGCATCGGCTGTCAGGCGCTCGACGAAATACAGCGAGTAGCTGTTGTCCTGTTGGCAGCTCTTGAGAACTTGGGAGAGGTCTTCCAGTTACCGGGGGGCGGAAGGAGAGGCTTAGGCCACCTTCCCTTGCAGCACGTTTCACTGCAGGAAGAGCTGCCGGTCTCCGTAACTTCTCCTGCATTTGGGCTTCCGAAACCCCACCCATCCCCATTTCCCCGATCCACCAAAACCTGCACAGCCCTAGACCCTAAACCCTAAACCCTAAACCCTAAACCCTAAACCCTAAACCCTAAACCCTAAACCCTAAACCCTAAACCCTAAACCCTAACCCCCAACCCGAGCAGACGAGGCCTCTCCCAAGCTGGGGTGGCAGCGGCGCAGCCGTCGGAAGAAGGCGCATCGGGTCTCCAGCCCTTGGGTACCCTAAAACCTGTGTGTTTGTATACATCTGCACATATACACACAGACATGTATATACATGTGTATATATGTATATGTATGTATATATGCAGATATATTATAATAGAAATATATATATATATATATATATATATGTACGCGTTATTTGTATTTATAACAATATTTATATTTATATTCGTACTTACATATTTGTTTGTTTATTCATTTATAGTATGCTCTACCCGACCACCTTCAACCCTCCACGTGTCAGCCGTGAGGCGTTCGATGCGGCAGCTGAGGCCTCCGCGCAAGGCATCTCTCTCCCCATCGAGCCTTTGAACTCCCAACCAACTCCACCCCGCACCGCGGCAAAACCCCCTCTGATTCGACTCTTCCAGGCACACTGGAACGTCCAGTCGTGCACACAGAACTGGCAACAAGCAACGCCAGAAGGTTTCTGCGAACTTGAACAGAGGTTCCATTTCCGAAGCAGGTCGGCACCTGCACTGGGCAGCGCTTGGACGAAGCTTGCCAGGCGCGGCCGGGAGTCCGGCAGCAGAAACACGGCGCCTTGGCCCATGTCTCTGATGTCTGCATAAGACCCCTCCCAAGATGAGCTTACCAGGTACTGATCAGCAGCTCTGCCAACATCAAGCCCACATCCTAAGCCAACGCCAAGGCGCAAGGGGCCGGGCCGTCGTAGTCCGATGGAGGAGACCAGAGCATGGCAGACGTCCTTGTGAATTGGAAGGAGTACTGTAAGTAATACCATGGTTCCACTGCCGCATTGTCTGGATGTGAGAAAGAAGAGAAGCCGACGTATGTTTGAGAAGATACCGGATATACATCTTTGTACCAATAAGAAATGGACAGATAAGAAAGGGATCGAAATACTACGCAGATTCAAGGGAACCCCTGAGTTGCCTCTCACTGTCAATCACAGGACTGCGAGATTGGCGGTTGAGAGGGCCTCTGAAGGTTGAAAGGGGGGTTCGACAGGGTTTAAGGTTGAGGGCGCCTATAGCCGCTTAGCAGCAGAGAATCTCCCTCCAGGATCGGAGCGTCTGGTTCGCCACATGCACATACACAAGGAACAGATGACGTGGGTCTGGAGGCTCAACCTTTTTTTCAAGACCTGTGGGCCCTCTCGTGCCGTGCAGGGCCTGTGGCCATGATACCTGGCCGCTGTTCCTCTCCAGAACCTCCTGTGTTCTTTGTTCCCAAGAAACGGGTGTCGGGCATGTTTGGGGTCTGCCCACCCTTATGAGGCCAGCGGGGCAGAGGAGGGGAAATTGTGCATGTGCGGATGTGGTGGGTCAACGCCAAGCAGCACCAAGGCCAGCTGCCGCCCGTGGTATGAGTCGTACACAACGTCGCTGCCCAGCACCATATGAAACCTCAAGGTGCGGGAGATGCCATGCTAGCCTTTGGGAAACACAGGACCACTTGATAAGCAGGCAACGAGCCCAACTGCTTGGTCTCCGCAAGCTCCTTCAGCGCGCCTGGACAGCGGATGTCTGTTGGAGAGGCTTACAAGCACTTCGCATGTGCTATATGACACTAAATCGCTACTACATTGCTACTGCAGCTGCAGTGAGCAGGTGCCTGAATTCTTGTACGCTATGGCCCACTGCTCTCAGGCATTCTGAGGGTTCTTCGTGGCCCATCGTGGCCCAACAGGTGTTCCCCGTCGGCACTGGCCTCCCGGCGGGTCCTCCCGCGCTGCCTCCAGTGTGGCTGCGTCGAAGTCGCGGAAGTCCAGCCGGCCTGAAAATGGGAGAAATATATAGTGCTTTTGTGCTTTTCGGCACAATGCTGGCGCCGCATCTCCGCCTGTCTGTGGCTTGCGCTCATCCTCGCCGAAGTTTGCGGCGATGTTTGTCTGTATTGCCGCAAGCACTGCGGGGTCGTAATCCTGCCAGGTTCCCCCGGATGGTGCTGCTTCAGAACTCTCTCAGTCTGTCAGACTTTTCTAGTTCGAGCCTGAAGACAGGCAAACACACCTGCACAATCGACAAGCCCTGTCCGTCATGACCACGCGTGCTTCCGGAAGTAGCTTCCTGAGGGTCCAAGCCAAAACAAGTCAGAGGCAACTCGCCACACTGGTCACGATTCTGCCCGCCATATCCCAAAAACTCAAGCAACCTCGGGCCCAGCGGGCCTAGCACACCTCGTTTGTTTAGGAGAGGATCTGCGCGGTGAGACCCAGGAGGCCAAGTCCTGCCCCCACCTCGAGCACCTGAAGACCTCGCAGGGAGCCTTAACTACGTCTGACGTGTGCAGCAAGGCAGGCTTCCTCACCGGATCATGCTTCGGAAACGTTCATGACTGTTGCTGGAAACTTCAGAGAGGATCTTGAGGGGGCAATTAACTTCTCGCCTGCATCTTACAACCCATCAGGCACGGTCTGCACAACGTCTGGCAGGCAACTTCACGCGGCTCGGGCTCTGCAAAGCGCGACCCCACGCCAACCCGGCCTGCTCCGCTGGGCGCAGGCAGCCTCCTAGTTAGCAAGTAGACTTGGTGCAATCAGACGGCAAACTTCCCTTTGATGACTCCGAGCACAGGTTGCCGCCGACCAGACTGTGATTCCCAGGCTGCACAAACCATGCATGCACATTGCAAGCCAGCTTGGCTGCACTTCGGAACATGATGCAACCACCCCGTTGCAAACAAAAGCCGTCAACAATTTATTCTACTGCCCGTTTAGGGTTTTGGGTTTAGGGTTTAGGATGGGTTTAGGGTTCAGGGTTCAGGGTTTAGGGGTCAGGGTTTAAGCGCCCTCAAGCGCGCCGAAGTCTGAAAGTGCCCTCTCCTCCGGTGCTCCGCCAGCCAGGAGGCTTGCAGCAGCGACGCGTCCCAGAGCCTGCCGCCGATGGACTCCAGCACCTCTCGTTCTGCTCAGAAGGAGGCTTTCAGCTTTCTTGCGGGGGGGCGTACGGGAGACTTTTGGGGGGGAGTGGTTGGGGGGGGGGGGTGGTTGGGGACTTTGGGGGGAGTTTGGAAGGTTTGAAAACATGAGAAATTTCAGGACTGGAGCTTGAAGACCTATGTATAGGGGCATCGCTAGCCACCTTGTGGAGGACCAGGCGCACCTCGCCAAGCGTGGCGGGGTCTTCCTGGAAGCTCCAAATACGACACGCGCCTTTTCTTTATTTGCGACACCCCCGCACAAGCCAAAAAAACCAGGGTTTAGGGTTTAGGGTTTAGGGTATATAGGGTTTAGGGTTTAGGGTTTAGGGTTTAGGGTTTAGGGTTTAGGGTTTAGGGTTTAGGGTTTAGGGTTAGGGTTTAGGGTTTAGGGTTGAGGGTTTAGCGCTCCTCGGGCTCCTCTGGCAGCTCGTCATCTTGACCGATGGGCTCCTGCGGCTTTTAGGGTTCAGGATTTGGTCAACTGCCAGGACGACTTTCGTTGGGGTTCCTTTGAATGTGGAGCCCTCTATTTAGGGGGGTGCACAAAAAAACCATTCACATCAGCAGGAGGGTTCCTATTCCTGGGTCTGCTGAGCAGTCCTTTCGCACATTGCTGATGTCATCGACCCTGGTCTGGCAGGTGTACGACTCGAGCGAGAAGGGGATGCACACGGATTCCGGCTTGCTTTCCTGGCCCCAACTCGGACTCCCTTTCAGCACAGTTTGAGGTTTTCCACAAAATGGCTCCGAAACTGCCCGAGGCGCCGGCAGCGTCGGCTCCCCAGCGCGCATCGCGCGCTGCGCGGCAGCGAGGCGCGTGGCCGCCTCCGCGTGGCCGGGGGACAGCCTCGGGCGCCACGTAGGGGCTGCTTGGCGACGGCTGACACTCTGCATGCTCGCAGCGCCTGCTGTGGCACACTGATCTAGCTGATGCCATCCAAGCTTGGCGGTGCAAGGGGTGTTCAGGGAAGTATATGTGGGGAGACTCGGGAAATACTGGGCGGATATGAGAGCCTTCAGCTCACTTGGCATTAGCGCAGAGTACTGCTTGAAAGCACCGGCCGAGAGTCTTCAGGCAACGCTCGAAGCAGCCGGTCGCATCTGCGAAGCAGCACATGCGGCACAATGCCAGCCCGGAGGTGTACTGCATCTCGGCCAGCTCAGAATCCTAGGCATGGCCGCGGAAGTCAAAGCCCTAGCACGACGAACCCATCAAGAAGCTTTCCTGCCCTGAACCACTCCTAATAGATCTTCACCCTTTGCCTGCTAAGAGTCGGCCAAGCCGGCCGCTTCCGCCCGCTTCCTCGCCGCATCGCTGTGCCTGAGTGCGCCGGCAGCGTCACTGGGCACCAACGCCCGTGCTTCCTCGTGCTCGCGGCCTGCGGGGGCTGCTTGGGTTGCGAGATTACCTATAGCCGGGCTTCACGCAGCGGCTTGTTGCGAGCATGAACAGTGATCGTGATGAGGAGAATACTGATGAGCATACGAACAGTCACAGTACTATGGGTAGTGGTAAAAGCAAGCATAGCAATAGAGAAAAACAACTATATAGTAGTCATGAAAAAGAGTGACGCCGATGATGTCTGCCAGAGAACGGATCTCCATGAGCTCCTCGGCCCGCTTCAGCCGCCACTCCGCCTTCCGAATCAGAGAGCCTCGGATGGCTCCGACCATATCTGTTGAACTAGGTTTAGGGTTTGGGGTTTATAGGGTTTAGGGTTTGGGGCTTGGGGCTTGGGGTTTGGGGTTTTAGGGTTCTACCGTACTACCTACCGTTCACCTTGGCCAATAGTTCAGAAGGAAGCTGAGCACAAGGCCAACGCCTTCCTGAGGCAAATCTGCCAACAGCGCCAAGGCTGCCTGGGAGGGCGGCTGCAGGGCTTGACTACTGTACCCGACTTCGAACCTCGGCAAACTCTCAAGACCTTTCGGAGAAGCTAACTGTTCTGCTTTTCGACCCCCGCCCCTGAACAGCCCCACTAGGAAAGACCCAAAACCCGAAAAGCTTTGCCAACCTCGGCATCCTCTGCACAGCGCTGGGCAGAGTTGGCGCTGAGGCACCGGAGGTGTGCGGCGGCCCTGTTGCAGAAGAGCGTGGCTCGTTGCAGCGCCTGGCAGGCCAGTGCGGAGGGATTGGGGTTTAGGGTTTAGGGTTTAGGGCTTAGGGCTTAGGGCTTAGGGCTTAGGGCTTAGGGCTTAGGGTTCAGGATGATGTAGGGCTCAAGCGGGCGGAACATGGCCTCCGTGTTGGCAAGGCCTTCGAAGGCCTCCGTGTAGGCCTCTGCAATGATCTTCAGATCTTAACATACTATAAGATACTATACTATACTATAAGATACTATAAGATACTATAAGATACTATAAGATACTATAAGATACTATAAGATACTATAAGATAGTATAATATATTATAATATACTATCATATACTATCATATACTTTCATATACTATCATATACTATCATATACTATCATATACTATCATATACTATAATATACAATAATATACTTAATATATGATATGTTTGCATGATGCTTCAGCAAGTGGCTGTCCACAACAAAGGCCACACTCCACTTGCCTGCCTGCACCGCCTCTTTGTAGCGTCCGGCTTTGTAGAGAGCATTGCCCTGGCCAGAGTGGTGAAGGCAAAACCCCAAGCTACAGAAACTACAAGCAAGCGGAGTCGAAGCAGACCCCCCGGACCTCCAGAATGCCTCAAAGCTCTCAATCCCACACAGTCTGCGTTCCTCGCTGGCGGGCGCGGTCATCACGAGTGACGCCTGAGGAGCGTTCGAAAGGTTGATGGTGAATCTCCAGACCCGAACTTTCTGTACAAAACTTCATTGACCTTAAGCTGCCCACGCCTGAACATGAAAGGCCTGACAGGGGCTTTTGCCGGGATGGCCCTGATTCTTCCTGCTTCTGCCAAGCGGCTGGGACGCGGCCCGACTGGAAACACCAGGGAAGCCATGGGGCTGCCCACGCGCGCAGCAATGTAGTGGCGGCATATGGTCGGCTACATCTGGACTTCTTGAACTCCTGCTACTTCCAAGCAACTTCCACAATCAGACGACATTTTCTCTGCAGAATTCGAGCAAGGACCGTTCTTGATGTGCCGAAGATGCAACTCCGTCCACACACTTGAGCTCGCAATGCGGCCTCTGCCGACTCTCTGCATCGCACTCGCAGCGGTGGCAATAAGAATGAAGATTACAGTGAAGATATTATATATATATATATATACATATATATATAGATATATGAATATATGTGTATATATATATATATATATATATATATTATATCTGGATATATGAATATATATATATATACATATATATATATATATTCTGAATATGAGTCTGAATATGAGGACTATGAATATAACGAGTATATTAATTAACGAATATAGGCCATCTTGCATCTCATGAGATCTGTCGCTTCCCGCACACTCACGCACAGTGCCCTTTTTCTCGCGTCTCACTGGAGCACGACATACGACGTGCAGCTCTCGAGGCCTAGGTCGCAACAAAACTGGGCCCAACCCTAAACCCCTAAACCCCTAAACCCCTAAACCCCTAAACCCCTAAACCCCTAAACCCCTAAACCCCTAAACCCCTAAACCCCTAAACCCCTAAACCCCGAGACCCCTAAACCCCGAGGCCCCTAAACCCTAAACCCCTACACCCCTGAACCCCTAAACCCCTGAACCCCCTACACTGAAGTCATGCACACGATCGAAAACAGCCCCTCGGCCCCCGGCTGTCCATGCCCTCGGGGCCCCGCACCAGCAGCCGGCGCAGGTCCCGGGCCAGGCCTTTCACCTCTGGAGGCTCCCGATGTTTGGGAGGTTTAGGGTTTAGAGTTTTGGGGTTTTGGGGTTTAGGGTTTTGGGTTTAGGAGTCAAGGCTCCGGGTCAAGCTGGAGTAACCACGTGAGAATGGGAAAGGTGAAAAAGCTGCCTGAATGGGCCTAGAACGGCTATTCCAGTATTATGATATTGCAATCTTATTCTACGATTTTATTATAGGGCTTTCTTAGGTCTCCAGGCCTCCAATGCTCGGATCTCCGCGTCGCTGCGGAGGGCCTTCAGCTCGCCTGGCAGTTTAGGGTGCATGGGGTACAAGGGGAAGAGCCGACCCAATCAAACCCTGCACCCTGCACGTCGGAACCCTTGGAAAGCCCAGAACCCCAGAAAAGCCCCACAGGACGAACTCCCCTAGACTGTGGGCTTTCAAGTCCACTCCTTCCGTGGACACTCGCTGCGTCCGCAGCATCTCCCGAAGTGTCATCACAGCTGCCTCAGCCGTTTAGACATCTGCAGATGCAGGTGTTGGGATGTCGGGGCGTTTTGGTACTGTAGCGTTGGAGATGTGACAGGTCGACCCTCCCGTGATACGATGGCGGCCGCTTCGTCCCCTCAACCTCTGCCGAGGCCCTTGAGGCCCCTGGCATCGATATCCACCTTCAGGTCCTCCCAGATCGAGGCATCAAGCTTCGCCTCCATCTTCGAGTCCACAAGGCCTTGGGCTTCATGGGCCACATACCATAGAAAACGCGCAGAAGGGTTAAGGATTGAAACTTTGCTTGGGGAGACATGGGCTGAATGTTGCGGACCTCCGTCGTGCGCTCCTTCCTTCACTCGGCCAACACTTTGGGACAAGAAGCGGCTAACCTCGATGATGAAGCACGAGCATTTCTCGCTCCATCGGCCCTCCATTTTGGAGAGCTTCTGATTCATCTCCGCTTCCTTGGCAGTGAAGGCAAAGGGCCGTGGTGAAGGCTTGCGAGCTTCAGAGGTGCAGCTCCGATTAGCCGCTGAATTGAAAGCTTGCGGAAAACTGTGACCATGCGCAACAAGGCCCTACAGCAATGGCACAGGGCTTCTACTTGGCTCATGCTCTCTCAAGCTGTCGGCGAGAGGCCATCGTAGTGCATCGCTCTTGGATGTCCCCCTCGAGCCGTGCAAACCTGGACCGGCTGTGCTGGGTCGCGGGGCCAAGGGCTCCAACGTCGCAATGCTGAGGTTCGTTGATGATGTTGACTTCACATTAGGAATTCCCGCCGCAATTACAAAATCCAGCTGCCAGATCACAATAATGTAGCCCGCCACAATTATAAAATCCAGCCCGGAATATTCTTCTAAAAGTGATCCCCCAGAAGCTCGCAGTAGAGGCTCACTTAGCCCACTGTGGTGGCACCGGGACAGCTAGACCTACCAGGATTTAGGCGGATATTATTGAGGAGGCCCTGGCCGGAGAGATTGATCAATGAAGGGGGGGGGGGGGGGTTTATTAATGCGAAGTCAACATTAGGGGAATTCCGCAAGATGGGGCACTTTTATTGGGCTGGGGGGAGGGGGTTCCCGATAACGAGGAGTAGATTTTTGGGGTACATGCTTTGGGAAATATTCGTCCGTGAGGTGAAGGCCACAGAACTGCGGCGTCTGAACTAGCAATGTCAAGGACATCATCTATTGAGCCCTGGCAGAAGCTACACATCGAAACCGACAATCACACTAGTACTGGGCAGCTACAAGAGGGACTCAACAGAACGCTTAGAAGAACGGGCTGCAAGGAGAAATAAGAACCTAAACGCCGGAAAGGCGATCCAGAAAAGGTGGAAACCTAATTGCTGCCCAGATGCCAGGCAGGCATGCTTTGCATGGTCTGCCTTGGGCCGGCGCAGAATTGAGGAAGACGGCCGGAACTCTCTCGGATGTGTTTGCACACGTTTGCACATTCTTGACTCTGCAGTACCGTTGATCAACTGCTGGCAAGATGCAGTTTGCTGGTGGCTTCTTTCAGCCACGAGTCCTGCTTGGCCCGGAGATCCTGCCAGGCCATCTTCTCCGCAACATTTTTTCAGCCTAAACCCTAAACCCTAAACCCTAAACCCTAAGCCCTAAACCCTAAACCCTAAACCCTACAAACCTCCCGCCATGCAAGTCTCAGCTCCCGGCGATCTGGAGACCCTTCAGGTCCGACCGGATCGCCGGGATCTCAGTGCCTGAGCCCCAAGAGAACTTCGCCACTTCGCTCGGGGCGCTACTCTAGGGCTTTCTGGCTTTGCATACACGTCTTGACCTACGTCTGTGCTTTGGACCTACATTGTATGCTTGTCTGTGCTTGGGCTACGTAGACCTATGTTCTCGATACTTCCACTTGGCTTGAAAAAGTGAGAAACCCAGAGAAGTAGGCAGACAAGCAACACCTGAAGCCAGCCGCTTTGGTAGCCCTAGGCCCTGAACACTTTAGCCCTGACTGCCCTAACTGCGTTACCTTTTTCCAGGGACCCTAAACCCTCAATCCTCAACCTTCAACCCTTAGAATACCCTTAGAGTTCTCAGGATGGCTTGTGCCGTCTCTCTGACTCTGCTCCGGGCGGCCGAGGGAGTAGCCCATCGCATTTTCCATACCTGGTGCAAAGTGCAGCCTTTTGGGAAGGACGGGTCTTTGCAGCTCGTTGTCTGTGTTTGTCATATTTGTTGGGAAGTGCGGGTGCATGATCCTTGAAGCCCTGAACTCTGCAAGCTCAAGCAAACAGCCGCTGGGTTGCGCATCTGCTTGTCGAGCAGGCTCGAATGTGTGGCATCGATGTGCCCGCTGACGTCTTTCACCTGGCGCCTCAGCGGGCTTCTGATGTGGGTGGATTACAACATGGACCCATTATGAGTCGACTAGCATATGTATTCCCATGTCATAGGGCATGCTTTCATTTTAAGAGCCTTCAGGAGTGTTTGGGTCCCATAGCTCAAGGCAGGGCGCTCCATTGATTGAGTCTTGCTCTTCATCACATCCACAGAACCTGGGGAGGCACTGCAAGGGCCAGAAGGAGACAGCCAGTGTTGGAAAAGAGTGCTTGATGACGACACTGTTTGCAGCTTCTGGGAGTGCACGGACGCATGGATTGCAGGGCATGGGTGTATGGGATGACGATGAAAAGAATGATTATGCGGCCGGGCAGCACTGCATCGAGGACACGGCCTCTCGCAAGACTTGCAGCTGATCACTCCTTGGCACTGCTGAGCTTGAGCTGAGCTTGAGTGGAGGCATGGAGGGAAGCCAAGACGTGAGATATCGCCAAGTGAGATATCGCCAAGCTGCATGGGCAACGTTCTTCGTAACCTCAACCCAAGGCGCTGACTTCCGAGCGCTCAACACAACGATTGCGATGCGACTCAAGCATCTAGAAGAGCCGCTCAGCATTGGTTAACATGGTGATGGCCAAGATCCGCTGAACATTGAAGTCGGGCTTTCCCCCTCCTCTTTTCGACGGTAAAGATCTGATTTATTTGGCGAGCCGCGCAGCAACCTCGCCCTGGAGGCTGCGAAGGCACTCCATCACGTTGTTGCACTTCATGCCTTGGAAGTTACGTGGCAAGGTTCGGGAAGAGACGATCGGCGTAGATTGATTCTGACGGGGGGAAGGACCGGCCGCTACAACCATGATGACATGCCATGAAGAAGGCTCCTGGCTAGCTTTTTTTTTCTGAGAATGCTCGTATGGTACGCAGTCGTTTTTGTGGCCAGCGGGCAGTATTGCTGAAGCAGCGTTGCCCAGTCCACTGCTTATGAGCGGCTTGTGCGGGTCGCATGGGCTTTCCCCCGTCATGAGAGCCATCGCTCGCTTGTGACCCAGGACTGAATGCTGTCGCCGACTGTCGCGCTCGCCACCAGATTTGTCCGGGAAACCCAGGCCAACAACCGTAACGAAAGTTTAAGACCGGTAGTTTTTGTGTTGCAGAAACCCTTTGGAAGGGTGCCCGAGCTGGAATGTTAACTTCTACCTGGCGTCCTGAAGCCCAATGAAGTCCTGTTACTCTTGTCAGGCGTCTGGCAAGCTTCAAATCATTGCCCGGTTCTTTCGAGCCCTCTGAACACGACGTGTCATGGGAAGCTTCGGGCCCTTGAGCTCCGTGTGGTCCCAGGCGCACTCCCAGCTGCCAGCGTCGCGCGCTTCCAAGAGCAAGTCGGCCTGGGGGCTGCAAGCGTCGAGGCTTTTAAAGGCTTGGAGGGGTTCAGGACAGGATGGCGAATGAGAGCCCGTCGTTCCCAATACGCCCTAATACCACAAACCCCCAACCCTAAACCCTAGAACCTGAACCCCCAAACCCTAAACATGAACCCTGAACCCCAAATTTCTCAACCCGAAGCCCCAAACCAGCCTTGTCTGCAGCCGCATCCAGACGCGGCAGCCTTTGCGCCTGGTAGTAAAACACCCGTGGCTTGACGGCCCCATCCCATATTAGTTGGGGTCTATGGTTTAGGTTTAGGTCCGGCTTAGAGTTCTAGAGCATACCGAAACCTACAAAGCCCCCAACAATGTCAAAGTTGAAAGATCATCCACAGCTTGCGGAGCACCCGCTTGACTTCGGGAGGGTTTGGGCGCTAGCGTCAACTAGAAAATGTGCGGTTTGTGCACCAGCGCAGACAGCCATGAAGGATACCGAGGCAGCCATTTTAGCACGCTTCAGCGCCGTTGAGATGGGGAGTTTTACTCTGCAGTCATGCCCTCAGCGCTGGCAAAGCCTTGACACCGTAGAGTTGCAACCCCACGGCTTCCTAGGCTCCATACATATGCAACACCAAAAGAGACGAACGTGATGACGACGAGGACGAGGACGAGGACGCGGACGAGGACGAGGACGAGTTCGAACGAGCACTTCTACCACCAACACTACCACCACCGCCACCACGACCACGACTACGACCGCGATCACGACCGACGACCGCGACCATCTGGATGACAACATGAGGAGTGGACTAAATGCTTGCCGGATGCCTCTGGAGAGCTCTCGAGGAAGGCAAGGCGGCGCTCCAGTGCATCCAGTCTTCGACTCACAGCGTCCATGGCCCCTACGACCCCAAACCCCCAAGCCCTGACAGTAGAGGTTTACCACATGCAAGATGCGTTTTAGTTCAAGACACTGCTGGCGCCAAGGCACTTCATGTCAGCTTTGATTCCTTCAGCTGCGGGCTCGAAGGTATATCTGAAGACTAGAAACTGCATAAGACATCCAACTTGACGCAGTCGGAGAGATGCCCGAAACTTGTGAAAGTCGTGGCCCTTTGCTCTCGTGGGCTCGTCCGCGTCTTGAAGATCGGCTGCGCTCTTTGCGCACCCTAGCGGCGGAAGGCGAAAATTGAAGTCGACGAAAAGCTCTTGTGTCCCAGCGCCGAGGGAATTCGGTTGACATGGCGCAGGCTGACCGGCGGTGAGTGAAAGCCGTGGACTTCTCATTGTCATGCTGCTTGTGCAAGAAACCACGCCAGGTCAGCAACAGCGTGAATCATCGTGCATTAGCAGCATGCGGCTTGCCAGGGCTCATCCCTGGATACCCACGTAGAGCAGGCCAAGTGCGAAAATCACCGCGGACACAACGCGGTAGTCCCAACCTAAGACACGATGCGACAGAATCATTCGGCTTTCCTAGTTGCGACATACACGAACAAAATGACATAAGCCCTAACTAATGGGCTTCATCGCGCATATCTACTCATGTTAAGGGTATAGAAGTCACTTACCTTCTCCAAGTTGACGCCAAACCCCCGGAGCCAAAGGCTCCGGCTGAAGTCCACGCCCCCGCGGGGCTCCTCCTCCTTGGGCACCTTTGCTGCTGTGAGCTCCTAAGCCCTAAAACGTGTAAACCCCCTCAAGCCCTGAAGCTTCACCTGCCAGCGTAACAGCAAGCAAGCCCCTGAAACTCTTGAAAGCATCGTCTGCGTAACCCTGAACCCTGCTAAACCCTAAGCCCTAAACCACAAACCCGAAACCCTAAGCCTTCTGTGAAGGTCTGGGGCCTGGGCTCCTCCGGTGGCCTCCATCAGCCAATCGGGCAGCTCGCCTGGCGCTGCTAAGGGTGTTTGGGGGGGTTTACACCCTTGCTGTTCATGGTTTGCGGGGCTATGGGGTGCGTAAATACCTTGCCAGATTCCTTCAGAAAGCCACTCATTGAGCCAGTCAGTGGTCCGGAACTCGGTGGCTGAGTGATTCTCTCCGGTGACCTCCCGCCGGCTTCATCCGACTTTCTCAGTGGGGTCTTGGCTTTTCTGAAGGGTTTGGGCCCGGCTTGGGCGGCCCCAAACCCTCGAATTGAGGGGTGGCTTGACATCCCCAAGGCTGGCCTGCAGCCTGCGCTTGCCTTGGATCCTTGGCTTTCGGCAGAAAAGTTGTCCAACAACCAGGGCTTGGCATGCCTTTGCCTCCACTTACTCTACATAAGAATATGACGTTGCACCTGCTTTATGTTGGGGCCCTGAACAGCCACCGGGTGTTGTATGAATTGAAGCGGGATGAGCTTAGATGAACTCAAAAAGGGAGTAAGTGAAGAAGAACAGTGTGAGGGGTAGGCACCACCCCTGAAGGGATTACGATCTCTTCAAGGCATGAGGCGAGGCCTCTGAAATTCACATCGCGCGGCTTAGGATTGGAAGGGTTGACGTTGAGATTTCAAGTAGCCAGGAGGTCATGCTTTTGACATCCATCCCTGGCTTTAAAGCTTTGGCCTTTAAGCTATGAGGCCCGGGCATGGAGATCAAGAGCCCCACGGCTCGGGGACGGGACGTTAAAGAGGGTCCCAAGGCAGCGCCCGGCTATAGAAGGGGTCGGCAGGCCCCTGGACCACCCACCCCCTTGTCAGGTTGATCGGGACAACTTTTCCTATGGTGTGTCTAAGGGAAATTCCTGATAGTGGGAATCCCAGCTTTCTGGATTCAGGGTGTTGAAAGGGTTGCACGGTTTGGGAACCCCCCCCCCCACCCCCTAATAAAACAAAGCAAAAACAATCCCGGAGACGCTTACCGTTATCAAGAGACCCGCCGGACCCCCACCAAGCAGTCCCCAGACACCCTGACGTGCCGATCTGATCTGAGGCACATCCAGCTCAGGCCGCTCAGGACTGGCAGGCCGCGCGAGCCGAGGCCTACAGCCAGTGTCGCATGATGTCGAGAATAAGATGTGGACATAGGATCATGTGGTATCATACGAAGGAATAGAATATGACAAAATGTACCCCATACATTTTTTAACATTTTTGGTTTTTTACACACAATATACTACGTGCTGTATGTTTACTATAGGTCATGAAGTGTATATTCACCTCGGCTTCCTGCAGAGAAGCGTCTGGAACAAGCAGACCCGGATCCGGTCTCCTTCCCCTAACACAACCCTTCCCCTGACGCAAACCCCCCCCCCTCCCTCCCTGTAGGACCCCCCCCGATCGCTTTCGCTTGGAGCAGCTGCAAACCGATGCCGTGGAGGGTCCCACCTGTCGGCGGCTCCGACAGACAGAGGGAAGCGCCTCGAAGAAGCACAAAACCCTTCCCCCTCCCCCCCCCCCCCCACCACCCGTTTACGGGCTCCATGCCGACGTCATCTCTACATACTTCTGCTCTAAGCGTTTACAACTATTCCATGTTCTACATTCTAAGTTTGTATTCTATTTTATTTTTTCTAGTCTATATTCTGTGTAATCTACTTTCTTGAATACCATCACATTTCGTGCGAATTGTATAATACACTTGCGGTCCTGTCTGCCAGCGCCTTCGCATCCTCGGCTGTCCTCCCGTGAAACTTGGCCAGGTGGAGGCCTTGTGCGGTGCACTGCTCTGCACCCACAATGCTGACACTCACATGAAAAACGCTGAGACACACGAGTCGTGCCACCCACACCCATGTCCACACACCCATGTCCAGGCACCGGGCGGAAAGCGCAGCAGCCAGAAGCAAGAAGGCGCATGCCTCGTTGAAATTGTGGAAAGCGATGACTGCGACTCCGGGGTTCAAAAGTTTTTTCGCCCGACTGGGATGTCTTGATGCAGCACATTAGGTACATTGGATGCACGCTTCCGTACGTTTCCGAATCTGCTCAGCCTCGCAACGGGCTTTCGCAGTGCTGGGGCAACAGGAGCAGAGCGGGGTCGAACAAAACCATCCTTGTCGCAGTGGAGAAGTTTACGCTGTGCAGGCTTGGGGCTGGACCTTGCAACGTCGCACCATGGCGTGGGTAGCAGACAGCGAGTTTTGTATGCAAGTAGCTGCGTTTCTCTTGGCAATGCCCTTTCCGATGTGTATGCAAAGGCTTGAGCTTAGAAGTGTCGAGGGCTGCAAGGATTAGGGACTTGCGGGGATGCGCCGAGCCGAGCTGTTCGGCTTCTTCTGAAGATCTGCGCTTCTGAGCCAAGTATCGTACTGTCGTGCCACCACGCCCGCCCAACGAAGCCCGCAGGGCCCAGTGAGAAAAATCTGAGCATGTGACAGCCTAGGTCGTATGGTTGTCATAGGGATCCACCCTCCACGAAACCCTAAACCCCTAAACCCTCAACCCCTCAACCCCTAAACCCCTAACCCTAAACCCACCCCTCTTAATACATCAAAGCAGGAGATCAAACTCCAGCGCCGGTCCCGAGACTTTGGAGTCTGCGGCACGGTCGAACCCTGGCCGCGGGTGCTGGGATTTGGGTTTGTTGTATTCAAACAGTACGACTTGGTTTAGGGTTTAGGGTTTAGGATTTAGGGTTGAAGCATATGTAGCGTTTACCATACGGACTACTATATTCCCCTATCTTTCTGTGAGTCCTGGGGCGCTTTCCATTGCCTTGCTGGTGCCTGAGCACTCTCCCGACGCTGAACCCTGCACCCCTCAAACCCCCATAATATACTTTGAAACAACAAATATGCTTTACATAAGTCATTCGTAAGATTCTCTTTATTAACTTTAAGATCCACTGCCTCGGTGCCCTGAAGCAGCATCGCTGCCGATGCCAGCGCCAAAGGTCCGGAGTGTTCCATCTGCACCTCGTCTACGTATCGTCATGAGCCCAGGATGGCCCTTAAAACCCTCTGAAAAATATTCCTGAATAAGATCCTCTTAAACCCAATAAGGGAAAATATAAAATATCCCAAGGGCCTACCTAGGAGCCAGTCGAAGATGTATGCTACAAGGTATGTGAAAACCCCCCGAAGCAGCAAAAAAAACGCATGGAATTGAAATCTTATCGATCTCGTCAGCATGCAAAGGAAGGCACTTTATGATTGGGTGTTTTCTCTGCACCGTCTCCTTCCGCAACGCCCGCCCAGAGGATACTGATAAACGTGACAATCGCTGATGTCAGCTCGAAGCACAAACGACAAACTTGAAGCCTGCAACAGCTCCGAGCAACGGCAGCTGCCAACCTTTTTTTCGCAAACCGGAACCTCTGATTCGCAAGCAATCAGTCCCAAACCCTCCTAGCCTAAACCCCAAAAATCCTAAGCCCCATCCCTTGCCTTGTCCAACTGGCTCGACACTGCCTGCAACACAAGAAACCCGATCGTCGCTTTGTTGTTTTCGGTACGAGCTTTCCTTCCAACACTCCAGAGGCAAGCATGCCCTGATAGCCTATACACCGCAACCCCAAATAGCCTGGTTCCCCATTTGCACTAACAGTCCTTAATGGGAATTATCGTACCCCCTGGTATAATCCCCTTTTAAGGACTGCTAGTATCAGGGGGAACGTCCCAGCTCCGTACCCCTGGACCCTATGGTGCCTCAAGGCGGTCCGTCAGACTGTCGCTGAGGCGTTCGCGGCTCAGGCGCTCAGCTGCGACCTTCCAGCGGCAACAAAACAACTGTGCCCCAAAATCCTGAAGCGTCTGAATTGACTCTAAGCCATATAATCCCCAAGCCCGCCAGACTTCTCTCCGTCCCTAATGCCCTTGAGGACCCTCAGTCCTGGACCATCCTCAACCCCTAAGCCCTAAAGCCCTCAAACCCGGGCTTGTGTAAGGGTTTCGGCCTGTTTTTTGCCTTTTTTAATCTTTTTGGAACGGCTTAAGGCTAGGGGGCTTAGGGAAATGGAGGGTGCAGGGCGCAGCGATGTTTTTTGTCGAGGAGTTTAAACATTTAAGGTGGGTTTTTGGCTTCGGGCCTCGTGTGGATACCTGGTGTGCGGCAGGACTGAGGCTTGAACTCTGATATTACTGCTCATCCAACAGAAGACCCCAAACCCCCTCATCGATGTGCCCTGCACCGGAACCTGTGCAACCTTATGTTATACATATATATATACACATAAATACATAACTAAAAAAATAAATAAATAAATATATATATATATATAGATATAGGGATCCTTAATATTGTTTGTATACATATATACATGCATATATATATATATATATATGCATATAGGGATCCTTAAAGCGACCACACCTCGCTTTGCAGCGTGTCTAGCCGTCGCTCGACTGCCGAGAGATGATCTGCCACGGCCTGCGTTCCACTCAATTGCAATCGATGCTTAAGACTCAACGGTCCAGGGTTCAGGAGACTTGCCTGCGCGCATCCGAACACTTCTCTGTTGTGCAAGCTTGTGCTTTCAAGTGAGGGCTACACCCAAACCAATCACCAACGTGTAGTTCGAAGCAGTCTGGGAGCGAGACCTGCTCGATCCTCAGATGCCCAGACAAAGAGTTGCGGATGAACTGATAAGGGCTTGCCGCATCACACGAAGACTTGAAGCACATCCGCTGACCGATTCGATACCACCCTAGGTCTCAAGGTTGTTGGAACAAAGCTCGGCTAACGGTTCACCGGTCAGCTCGTGTCTCTTGGGCTTGGTGCTTAGGTCTCCGGCATTCTTCTGACTTCGTCAGAAGGGCCCAGCGAGCCTAGCAAGTCAAGACGAAAAGTGAGATGTCTTGCCTACACAGGTGAAGCCCAAAGGCTCGCACTCAAAGCATGCTGGCCAGTGTCTCCGAGCAACTCCCTCCGTGCACATATCAGGCAGCAGCCCCACTCGCACACTTGCGAAAGTTAGTGCAGGCACAGGCACTAATTGTGCATCCTCTGCCGCTCTGATTTCAAAGCCCATCTCACGCCTGTGCCTTCGACAGAATAGCCTCGGTCCTTCGAGAAGCTGAACTCAGCGCCTGGAGACCTGGGATTCAGAAAGGTGTGGGGTTTTGTGGCTCAGGGGGGATGAGGCTCTTCAGGGATTCAGCCAGAGCTGTTGAGGGTTTAGGGGTTAAGTGTTTCTAGGTCGTAGGGTTTGGAGTGACAGGTGACTTTGAGCCTTGCTTCCGGGGGCATGCGACAGCTCACTGGGCACCGCTTCACATCAAGCTGCTGCAGGTGTATTCGGTGTATTTGCAATGCCTACTGAGGCCCCTGGCCCACTGCAGGAATCTCGCTCCTCCTGTCAGGGAGGAACAGCAGACAGGCTTTGCCCTGCACAGCCCTACCTCAGCCATGACTGTCAGGTCGAACTCAGACGGTCACCTGCAGCGTCATCTGCTCCCAGTGCTGGATGGCTTCTGGCACGGCCATGCGTCCTGGATAATAGGGTGGCTGCATGCAGCCCTTTGGACTCTTGAGAAGAAGTGCACAGCAGAGCATTACCATCGTTGCTGCCACTGCCCTAAGAATTTGCAATAAAACAACACATGAGCCCCCTCCTTCGCTCCCCAATGCCGCAGACGCCTGCACTTGTAGGGACAAACTGCCGACGCAACTTTGCCCGTTTGCCATTTTGCAGGTCAAGCCTGCGCCGTGACATCAGGAGCCATTCAAGGCTACAACAGAATGCAAGAGCCCTGCAGTTATAAGTGCAACGGCAGCAACGTGTTGCTCCTTATGGCAGGCGCTTGTGGCTGATGTCTCTTCATGGGCGCATGATGGGTATTCGACTGTGTACTCAGCTGCAAGCCCGCACGGCGTCGGCGCGGCCCCCAAGTACGCTACGCTGCTCACATGGCCCGAGTTCGAGCCCCTGCATGAAGGCACTCTATGTCGCATCGGCATGTGCATCAGCAAACTCAAAGCCGTGTCAGTCATGCATACAATCGAGAGCCAGGTGAGCACAGATATCCGATTATCTCCACTCCTATACCTCATCCAACGGCCGAAATGAAGCCCGAAACGGCTGGAAGCAGGGCAGAGAGGGAGCTGTTGCACCTGCAGTGCCTTGGGCAGTGACGCCACTTCTCACGGAATCCAGTGAGCGCGAGGGCGAGAGTCTAAGTTTAGCCTTGAGCACCCAACCTTTAACTCTAGCTCAGTTTTTCGGGGTTGGAGCCACCAGAAATCATTCCGGCGCAGGTCATCTCTACAACAGATCACGGGTCTGCACGAAATTGAGACGATATTGCCAGTGCACTCTACTCCCTATCAGCCACTTCTTCTTCTTCTTCTTCTTCTTCTTCTTCTTCTTCTTCTTCTTCTTCTTCTTCTTCTTCTTCTTCTTCTTCTTCTTCTTCTTCTTCTTCGTCTTGCTCATTCTAAGCTCTTCTCATCCCTTTGTTGAGTATTGAGAACTCTCCCACAAGAACACTGAGGTCAGCACACCACTTTGCAGCTCGAGCTGCGTCTTTTGCGCCTCCGCCGAGGAGTGGAAGCTTCTGCTTAGGGGGAATGAGTACTGCCCACATGTGCCCAATCAGCGTGGTGCAGTGTCCAAGAGCAACCTTTCAAGACCATTCTCCAGCAGTCCCGGGCCGACACCCCCAAGAGTCCATAACAACTACGCTTTCCAGGGCCGACATAGTGTAGAATCCCAGGAAGCCCCCCCCCCCCCCCCCCCCTCCCCCCCCCCCCTTCCCCCCCCCCCCCCCCCCCCCCTCCCTCCCCGCCAAAGTTTCCAAAAAAGCCTCGTAGGCCTTCAAAAGGCTCTGAAAGGGCCCGAAGCGGTCGACGCCCCAAAAAGTTTGAACCTATGCCAAGAAAAACGCTAGGTTCCTCAGTAACCTAGGCGAAGAAAGGGGCACCCTTTTTGACTAATTTAAGCTGAAAAGGGACAAGTACTACTGGGCACCCTTGCACGTGTCAGTCGAAGCTGGAAACCCAACACCCCTAAACCCGAAGACGAAACAGAGCACCTTTTCGAAGCGCTGTGTTTAATCAGTGGGCGCTTGCTTGCTTTGCAGACAGGCCCGCGTCAGTCATTCTCTTCTGAAAACCTACGAAAAAGGGCTCTGGAGGACGGAGGCCAAGTCGGAGACAAGGAGGAGATATGTGGTTCATGCCTGGGGCTCAAGGTTTAGGGGGTTAGGGCTGGCCTGACCGTGAGCTCCAATTTGGATCGCCGAAACGTGGCAGTAGCCCACTAGTACCGAATCCGAGGCATGCAGCACCACGACAGTGCGGCCAAGAGGATACAAATGCTGAGGAAAGCCAGCGAGGCATGCAAATGGTTGGGTAGCAGTTGCCTCAGGTAAATCTCCTCAACAAGATTGATCCCCAGAAAAAGAGAGATTGCAAAGACAACAATGGTCAAGGAGAGTAGGATGTCTAGGCACATTGTGCATAGCCGGGCTCTTAGCCTGTGGCTGATGTGAAACACCAACTTTATCACGAAGGGGAACACGCCCAGCCAGTACGAAAGCGGCCGGTACAGCTCCACCATTAACCAGTAGATCTCTGTGTTGAACCATATGATAAGGTCCATCAAGGCGAATAGTGCAGGACCTGTGCTGCTGTTGGAATTAATATGATGTATCAGGGACACGTCATGCCAGAAAGGTCTCGGTGGCGAATTTGATTGTCCAAAACAGGCAAAGCTCAAAAGGTCGAAAACTCCCCACACATCGAACGAGCGTTCTGAATCGAACCAAGGTTCTGGCGGCCAACAAGATGCGCGGATAGGTAAGGGTATCGTTTGCCAACTGGTGGACCATCCGGGCACGTACGTCGGATTGCACACATAGCTCGAACGCCTGTACGGATCCAAACCACTTGGAGATACAGCTCAACAGCACCTTTGTTCCACAACAGTGCAGGGATAAACAGGCCTCATTTTTAGAGGAACGAATGCAAAACGCAGTGCTATTTTCAAAGTTGAGCACCTGTCGGTCGCAAGACATTCCGTTTGGATGTTCGGCCTCACAGCAGCTACTTTGACACTCACTGATCGAGAACTGTCGAAGTTGCTTGTCAAGCAGGTCGATGCTCCGAAAATATGCCCTCACGGAGTGCACTGCGAATGTAAACGCCGGCACGCAGACAAGGCCAAAAAGAGCCCGCCCCACGTCCAAGCCTTCCCTTTCCCAGTGCCAGTTCAGCAATAGGAGGGAACCCACGCTAAACGCAAAGTGCCCACCCAGCAGCGTCGGGCCCAAGAGTGGAGGGCACATTCGAATGCTTGCACGTTCGCCATGGCTATGTATGAAGGCACTCAGTTCAAACACGCACCACAGCCTTTGCACGTATCTTCCGCCCCATAGTACTAGCATGGATTTCGACCTTTTCAGGAATCCACCCATGCTGAGAATGCCTTCAGCCTTCAGTCGGCGGTCCTCTTGATGTATGCATGCCAGGTCCAGGAACACCATCGACCGGCGATAACTCAACAGCAGAGCAAGATAGAAGGCTCCCACTCCCGACCCAAGGCACCATGCGGACTTCAGTGTCGTCACATCTGACGCTGGCAAAATATCAAGAGCGTAGAGTACAAACGCGATGATTGCAAAGAACGTAGCCACGCCAAATGCTGGAAGAGCCTGATACAGGAGCAATATGTTGATATACTTCTGCCACGCAGCCGCTTGCCAGCAATGGGAAATGAACTCGTCAATCCCATGCGTTACCTTACTCAGAGAAACCATTGGAAGGCCTCGCCACCAATACCAAGGAATAAGATGAACCACCAGGGATACGGGAATTGCTCGGAGAATGTCCGGTCGGATGAGCTCCATTGTAGAGATGAAGTTAGTGAGTCGATGGGCCAGGAGTCGTTCATCACTGATCGGCGACACCTCACTAGCGCTGTTGTCGCCCTTGGATGCAAAGCGAACACAAAAAAACTTGTCAGATAAATCCGCCCAAAGCCCGAGAACGAGCGTGCTCAAGAGTTCTTACACCTCAGATAGCAAATTTCCTTGTGTGCTTAGCATAGGAGTCAAAAGTGGAAGGGCTCAAGGTGTTGGGTAGATATAGGGTTCAAGGAGCCAAGGTTAAAAAATGGAAACTGGAATTCCCTTTCCAGGCTCCTGCCGCTCCTGCGGTATCGGCACATCTTCTTCTTGTAGGCTCGCCTCCTGGGGATCTACACCCTACTAAACCCTAGCCCCCCCAAACCACAACCCAAAACCGCAAATTTTACGGCCCCAGTTGAACAATTAGCTTAATCAGCCCAACTGCCACCTGAGTCAGGCACGAAAACCTGAGGTTTCGGTTTCGGGGTTCAGGTAGGGTCATGGTTTTGGGGTTCAGGGCTTAGGGTTTTGGTGTAGGTTGCTTGCAGGTCCAACACAGGGTGCTCTAATGCCTGCGGCTTGCCGAATCGGTGGAGTTCCAGGAACTAGACCCAAGAGCACCTAGGAAAATAAAGGGTGCCCTTTGATTTGTGGTTAACAGGGGTTTACAAGGGGAACCTAACCCTAAAATAAGGGGATAGGGGCCTACTCTGGGTCCTCGGGAAGACAACCCCAGTAGCTGGGAGCAAAAAGGGCACTCTTTTTGGTTATAAGGTTTTATATGGGATAAGAACCCAATAAAAAAGGGGAATAAGGGCGCTACTGGGCATCCTAGCTGAACCCTACACCCTAGACTGTCTGGACTTCTACGGCTCCTACATCCCCCGAACGTTGAGTTGCAAACGCCCTACCTTGAGAACCCAAAGCCTTATTTTTTTGTGTTTCCTACTGCTGCAAATGACCGTATGGTTTCTTAGGTAGCCCCCCAAAAAATGGAGGTTTGGGGCCCTTAAGGGAAACTTGGGAAGGCATGAACACCCTTGCTGGGCGCCCTAAACCCTAAACCCCCAACACCTAAGCCCCAATGCCCTGCGCTCCTCGCCACCCGACCGATCTTCAGCTGGGTCCACGCTCCCTGAGACCATGACTGCCCTTTGATCTTCCCAGGCCTACGGGGGAGAAGGTGAAACACTTGGGCAGCAATTGACTTGGGCGATGAAAACGCTGCGGAATTTCTCCACTGGCTCTCACAATCCTTCGCCGATCCAGAGGGCCACTGCGGCACGTTTAGGGTTTGGGCTTCAGGGTTTAGAGTTTAGAGTTTAGGGTTTAGGGCTTAGGGTTTAGGGTTATCGGAGCTCCACATGCCCGAGTGGCATGCGTGAGGGTGGCAAATCTTTAAACATGCCCCAACAAGCCTTGCCGAAGGTTCTTAGGCATGCTGGTTTAGGGTTTGGGGTTTGGGGTTTGGGGTTTGGGGTTTCACTCCCTCATACAAGTTCGAAAATCCGGTACATGACTTTGTTGGTATCCGGGCCACAAGAGCTTCTGTGACGAAGCTGCTTCGGGCTTAGGCTTGGGGATTATAAAATCCGAAGTGTTTAGATCCCGCTTTGGGGAACTTTTCATGGGTGCTCGCCCCCCCCCCCCCCCCCCCCCCCCCCCCCCCCCCCCCCCCCCCCCCCCCCCCCCCCCCCCCCACACCCCCGCACCCGACACCCCTGCGCCCCTTTGTGGACCTTTGCCTGCTCTAACCCACCCCCTGCTCTTCTGTGTCCTACAGCATCTTGCGGCACCCCGACCCCCACAACCCTTAGTTCGATGTTGGTCTTTCTACATCGATCGACTACCAGATGCTGGTACTTGATCTTCGGGCTCGCGAAGACCCACCCATGTCAACAGCTGTATCCCAAACACCTGCAAAGCTGCGAAAAACGGTGGCGTTCTCTTTAACCAGAAACAAAGTCGTGGTATGGGGGTTTCCATGATTTGGAAGGTTTCCTTCGGCGTCAGAGGATCAGGAGCCGCCCCCGGACCCGTGCTTCGTCGTGTGTAGGTTTGGGCATCTTTCGAACGAACGCTCTTTAAAACAGAAAAATAATCGTTGTAGTGCAGCCCACACCCAGCGTGCCCCCTCGCCTCGAGCTGTGCCAGTTCACTGCGGCTTCTCTCCTGCGCTGCCGCTGGCCCAAGCCCAGATGGTCAAAGACTCAAGAAAAGCGGAGACAGACCTGTCTGGAGAGCCTGATTGTCAAGGCAGCAGGAGTCAAGCCTCCACGCTGCGCAGGTTGAGCGCGAGCTCGTGCTTCTGTCGTTCCTGGGCACTTTGCTTCGACGTGCTCAGCGTCGCTGACGTGCATGTCTTCCCAGCATCACGCGGAAAATCCCCCCTGGCCTCGATCTCGCGCCTCTCCTCCAGCTCTGCAATCTGCTTCTGGTAGTCTGCAGTCAGCTGCTCCACTGACCTGCGAACGGCGAGTGTAAAGTTGGGAACAACCCAACATACGAGAGCTGTGGCGAATCATAGCAGTGGTTGAGGAGAAAGTTCACGTCTCGAGTCTTCGAGCCACTGAAACTAGTAAGGTTCCCACACCGATGGCACAAAGCACGAACTGCCACAATTCCTGCCCCAAAACACCCAAACTCTACGACTCCACTCATCCCGAAGGTGCCGAATGCTGCAACCACCGAAGAACTCTTGCGGCCGCCTCTCATGGTCGGAAGTCCGACCAGCGGAGTCCGACCGCAGCCGATCCAACTGAGGGCAGCTTTGGGGTCTGGGGATGCGGGGCATACTATATATATGTATATAATACTTTTACATGTATTCCAAAATTTTAACACATACTGATGTATTTGTAACATACATAACGGTGCTTTAGGATGTTGTCAAGGTTGTAAGGTGGGGTCTAGAGCTTCTGCATCGGAACTCTTCGAGCCCTCAAGCCAGAATCTCGCCTCACTCATCCAGCGCAAGGCATGGGGGGTGAACCCATTGGTGGCTAGGGGTCTGTCTGAGCACTTCGTGCGGCGTGCGTGCCTCAGGACAGTCCCTGCCTCTTTGGCTTGCTTTCTGCTAGAAGGTGCCCCGAAGGCTCTGCACAAGGGTGCTGCTACAAGACCCCAAGCTCGTTGTGCCGCAAAGCGGCCCTACTAAGGTGCCGGCCTCCTCCTTCAGCGTGGCGGCTTCATGCGTGATGGATTCGAGGTCCCTGGTGTCTCACGAGCTTACTTCTCTTTCGGAAACACTTTGGGCAGCTTAGACCTACACAGACTTCACTGCCAAGCAGACAGCCATGTCGATGCAGTGGGCGGATAAGGACGCAAAAGACGACAGACCGAGCTGCTTGCATCATTTTCGCCTCTCTTGTCCCATGGCGAGGCTGCTGGGCAGGCAGTGGTTGCCTGCTCAGTACAGCCTCCATGTTCGAAGGCGTAGCTCCGGAACAGCGGTAGCAGGGCCAATGGCTGTGCGGGAGGCTTACTACTCTCCGCAACCTGTGTTGAACATCGCAACACCTGCTTCATGCCCCAGCGTGTCTCCAGTCCAAGAGCTGAGTGACGTCTTCCAGAGATGAGAGAAGGCACAGTGGTCTAGTCCGAAGCTCTGACCAGGATGTGGAGCAGAGGTGACTCGGAGATGCGCCGAGCACTAAGACGGGGGATCACCACATCCGCATCTTTCTGCAGCAGGCGACCGGACCATTAGCTTGCAGAAGCCGCAAAAAGCTATCTGCAGTCTTGGCTTCAGGCGCTCTGCGGCCGCGACCACTTTGAGGCAGACTGCAGACAGCTCCTTGGACTCGGAGGGCAGTGTTTGGGGAGCTTGTAAAGGCTTGTAGAGGCTTCTGATGCGAGGCCTGATGCTCAAAAATGCACAGGCTAGGCGGCAGGTTCAGCCAAAACGTGATGGCTGTCCATAGCTGCCTCGTTCCAAGAACTACTAGGGACGAGACTGGAGCGCGGCCGCTTGCTGCCTCCGCCTGGCAAGGTGCTCATGGATGCATTATGATTGCGATGCTGTGGTATGACTGCGATTACTCTGATATATTGCAAGGCCAGAACCCGGCCTCTCCGCAAAGCGCTTGTTCACTGGCGCTCGGCGCAGCAGCGCCTGCTGAGCCTTCGAGGCACCTGCGTCGCTGCTCTCGCGCTCGCGCGGTCAAGGGTTTGGAGCTGCCGAGCGCTTCAGATGCTCAAAACCTCCCCGGCTGCGTCTGACCCTTATGCTTGAAACAATCCTGAGCATTCCTGAACCCCAAGCGCGGACCCAACGGTGCAGACGTATGAGATGCAAGGCCGGCATGTGGCCTTCGATCACGAGCTGGGGCCTTGGGACTCCATGTTGTGTGGCGTGTGCTGTCTGTAAAAGTCAGCCTGAGAGAACAGTCTCGCAAACCGATGGCTTCAACCTGCCACACTGTGCAGTCAGGCCACTGACATGACACCACCAGCGCCCGCGGAACAGAGTCTGTCCGTGCTGTGCCCCAGTGGAACTCATCCAGGGTTGTATCGTCTGCGCCGCAGAGGCCTGACAGACTGGCTGCAGCTACCAAGCATCAGGCTCCTCGTCAGTTGCAGTCATACCATCTATTTTCGATTCAGGCTTGAATTTGATGATGCCTTTCTCGGCATCCCCCCCCCCCCCCCCCCCCCCCGCACCCCCCCACCCCAGCCCCCGCCTGCTCGAACGCACAATAGCTTGAGCACATCCCGAAGCTCTTGGCAAACGCCTTGCCAATAGTCCTTCCTGAGATTTGAGGTAAAGGCACACAACACTGTCACTACACTTGGCCACACTCACTGCAGCACCAATCAGGTAACTACAGTAGGATGGGTTCCACATCGGATGAGGTTTGACGATGCTCAAGCGGAATAGAAAGGAGCGGAATTTTCATAAGACAGACTCCCAGATCACCCACGGAAGGGTTGGCGATCTGATTGCCCTGGGGCCCACAACCCTCCACTGCTGCACGTCAACACGAACGTAACCCGGCAACCAGAATGCCTCCAGCGCAAGAAACCTAAAGACGATGACTAACCATAACGAATACAACCCAAAGCCCTATTCACAACCCTATAGCCCAAACCTCAAACCCAAAATCCCAAGCCTTAAAAACTCCGAACCCGAAAGCCCTAAACCCTAAACCCTGTTGCTTACCCTGCACCCCAGAGCACCCCAGTCCTAAAAGTCATTGGAATCACACGCACGCGGGTCTCAAACCAACTATGAGGGCTAAATGTTGGGGATCCTATTCGGGTCTCTTTATGCTACCTTCCTTAGAGCTTTGCGAAGCCCTACACCCCTAAAAACCCTAAACCCTAAACCCTACGATCCCAAGAGATGCTCGGAAGCCCAGCTGCTGTTCGGCGTGGAGCGCCGAGGCCGGCCGCGGGGCCGCGCCGGCCGCGTCCAGGGCCTCTCGAGCCGGGACGACAAAACTGGGTTTAAAGTTTAGGGTTTAGGGTTTAAGGTTTAGGGTTTAGGGTTTAGGGCTGACTGCAAATATGCTGCGAAAGCAACTCGAAGATTGCGGGAAATTGCGACATGTCAGGAGAAGAGCACTGGCAGTACAGTCGCAAGGCTGAAGGAAGGGGGGGAGAGGGGGGGGACCCTAAACCCTAAACCCTAAATTACCCTAAACCCCAAACCCTAAACCCTAAACCCTAAACCCTAAACCCTAAACCCCAAACCGAGATGGGGGGGAGGGAGTGACCATCTTCTTCGGGTTCCTGACTGGAGCCGGCCTCCAGGAGATCACCATGGCGGAGCTGGCCTCGGCTTGTGGCGATAAGGGGTTTAGGGTTTAGGGTTTAGGGTTTAGGGTTTAGGGTTTAGGGTTTAGGGTTTAGGGTTTAGGGTTTAGGGACACCAGACCAGATGACACCACCTCGAGAAACAGTGGACAAACTTAGCAGAAGGATGGAGGTGAACCCCAGCTCAATGCAAAAACGACTGGCGACGGTGAAAAAACTCACAAGGGTTCGCAATCTTGAAGCCCCCCCCACCCCCCAACACCCAAAACCCTAAATCCCTAGTAAACCCCACAAACCCGAGACCCCAAAAGCCCGCAAGAGCCCTGAAGACCATAAGCCCTAAATCCCAAGCCAGTAACAAACCGAAAGCCGTGACCTCTCAAGAGCGCTAAACTCTAAACCTAAACCCTAAACCCTAACCTAAACCCGAACCCTAAACCCCAAACCCTATACCCTAAGCCCTAAGCCCAAACTGGGAAGAAGGGTGGCGCCTTGGTGCATGCAGCCGGGCGCTAGAAGCGCCCTCAAGTGGTCCCGCGCAGCGCGCAAGGACCAGCTGGGGTACTCCTGGTGCTTCTTTTTTGGGGGTTTGGGGTGCTGCTTGGGGGGTTTAGGGTGTCAAGGTTTGGCGTGGGTTTGGGGGGGGCGGGGACGGTCTTGGAATCCAAGGGGCTCCGCCCCCCTTCGGGCCCCCACCAGCCGGAACCCGGGCAAGAACAAGAGACTCTTGCAATGCCCCAAGTTTCTTGCAAAGACGGCTGAACGGAAAGCGCTTGCCAGATGTGCAAATCTGGTTAGGCAATGCAGCTTGTGGTTGGCGGCCAAGGTGCCACCCTAAAGCCGGCTGCGGAGATCTGGGGAGTTACTCGTGTTACTCACATCAAGGCTATCAAACCCCACAATAGGCATTCAATAGGCCCTGCAGCTGACCCCTGGGCGGCGTCGAGCTAGGTATGCAGGCAGTGAAGGTCAGGGAAGGTTCAGGGACCCTGAGAACCTATCTCAGAAACCGCCGCTGTGCCGGTGTTGTCGAATCCCTACACTGACATGCTCGAACCGATCATATTCGGGTGTATTTGTGTGCAGTTGCAGACTCGCTCAATCCCGGATGCCTCGTAGATGCGCAGGTACTGGAGGCAATACCTGCCACCCGTGAGACCGCTTCGGACTTGCTGACGACAGACACGCAGTGTAATTCCAAGCTGGCGAACCCTAGAAAAGGCCGTGTGCAGTCCTCGAAGAGGACAAGAGATTCTAAAACTGGCTGTGACTGAGCACAAACCTTGCTAGGTTGCTTCCTCACGAGTCGGCCCTTTCTTTTGCGAAGAACCCTCGACTTTTTTTATCTTCATCCTAACATACATTCGAATTTCAGCAACAAGCAGTGGCCCAAGAGACTGCCTTTTTTTTTCTCTCTCTCTCTCTCTCTCTCTCTCTCTCTCTCTCTCTCTCTCTCTCTCTCTCTCTCTCTCTCTCTTCCTTCCTTCCACAGCCGAAGATCCCCCCCTTGCGGGGAAGGACCGCCCCAAGGGGCCAGCAATACAGAGTCTGTTGGTGTGATAGGTTTGGAAGGTGGTGGGTGGTATCACGAAGCAACAGCTAACACCACGTAGTGCCAACCACGGTACCATGTAGAACAAGTGTGTGTTCCCCACCAGCTGCCGAAAACGTCCCTTTAGGACAAAACATGAGGAAGGCAAAAGCGTGCACTGTGATGTTTGGAGCCAATGGTATATGCCCCCGCCCCGAATTGAGACCTTCCTCTTAGGTATACTCCCCACAATCAGGGTGGAGTAGGTGTGGTTCCCTCCCCACAGTTTTGGTGGGTTGGGGCTGTAGTCAGAATACGAGCCTCCCTTCCCCAACAACCGAAATCCCCCAAATCAACCGAACAACACCCAGGGACCCACGAGGGGAAGGGAGGGGAAGAAGCGATTTCCCTAGGGCGGCTGATTGTGCAGTACGGTGAGGCTTCGCTCACTTGGATTAATTGGTTGGCTACGGTCTCCCCTTATCCCGAAAACATCCCCCTTAAGGTTGTTACACAGCTGGTTTCCCTCTCTCCCTGTTTGGCTCACTTGTGTCCCCGATTCAGGTCTCAGTGGATGAGAATGTCGTGGTCGAGGTAGTAGAGGGTCACTTCGTTGTTCGATTTGCCAGGCGCTTGATTTGGTCTTCTAGATTTTCACTGCTCCTTGAGCTGTCTCCCCCAGCTCTGTCCAATCTTCTCTTCCTTGGTAGGGGTGGTCTGTCGTGGTGTTGGGACTCTTCCCTCCGAGCCGATGGTCTTTCACATGGCCCTCCATACACCGTGTGTGGTCGCCTTGTGGTCGTGGGTGATCTCCGCGTTGTTGTAGTCGACCGACTTTCTCCCTCATAGTTGCCCCTATACTGTTTGGCCCTGGAAGCCGATGGTGTTTCACATGGTCTTCCTGGCTTTCCCCATGTGGGCGGTTTTTGCGGTGTTGGGTGAGCTCCTGCTGGGTAGTCTCGGTTTGTTCCCCGGCCGTGCTCACATGCGGATGACTGAGCTTGGCATCGAGCTTGTCGTTGTAGTGATTCCCATGTCGTTGGCGATGAGACAATACTTTGCAACGGGGATGCCTGCAATCTCCACCAAGGTTTTCTCGGGGGATGTTGGGGTTCGGCTGGTCTTAGTCGTCCTGTTGCGGTGCCCCCCGAGTTTTCGGTCTCGGCCTTGGTGACGTCTTCCGGGTCAACTGCCACCTCCTCATATTCGTCTTCATCCCTCCTCGGCTGTTGTGGTTCATCTCGTCGATGTTCGCGTGTGTCTTCTCCCTTTGGTTTGTTCGCCTTTTGTTCTCCATGTGGCCTCTCCCTTCTCTGACTGGACTGTCTGGCGCGGTAACCTCCTCGGCGTTCTTCTTGTCCTGGCGGGGTTGGCTTTTCCTTAGAGGCCGATGGTGTTTCACATGGCTTTTTGGTGTGCTCCCTCAGGGTGTCGTCCACTAAGTCGCCTGTTCCCTTGGTGTCATCTTTCTTGGAGGCCGATGGTGTTGCACATGGCCTTGCGTCATGCTCCCCCAGGATGTCGTCCTCGAAATGGCCTGCTCCCTTGGTCTCTGTCGCTCTTGTGTTCTTCTCGTCCTCCTCGTTCCATGGTTTTCCTGAGCGGTCGCGGGTTGTGGTAGCCGATGGTGTCTCACATGGCCCCACGGTTGTGTCTTCCCCATCGGTGTTGTCCCCCCAGTCTGCTCCTTCATCATTGGGGTCTGCTCCCCCTTCGCCCCGTTCATACTCGCCCCCGACGTTGTGGTGCGTTGGAGGTTCTTGACTGTTGACGGGGGAAATGACGTTGATACTTGCTTGGAACCACTGGGTAATTTCATCTGCACTCCCTTGCCGAAGTCTCCCTCTGATGTCCTCTGCTTGGTGTGGCGTGTAGTTCTCGGCCACCCACTCGATGACTTTCCTCATGTGGTGCAGGGCGGTCTCCACCAGGGCTTCCCCGGTCGTAGTCGGCAGTGCAGCGGTAGCGGTGGCATCATGGTGCTCCATAGCGGAAAGGCGGGGTTATAGCTGAATGTGACGTGGTAGGGCAAAGTGATGTGGTGGGGTAGGGTATGCCGAAAGTGACGAGTCCTGGAGGGATGTTGCATACGCATGCGGGTCTAAAACAGCGTACAGAAATCGATGCGCCTGTCTGTTCCCCCACTTCAGCTCCTTGTTAAGGTGTCCCCGTAAAGCAATGGAAGCGACCAAGGCAAGTCGAAGACAAGTTGAAGAACATGTGCCCCCCGAACGAAGCCCAAAACTTAGAGGTGCAGGGGCGGAGCGAAGTGGCTTCACAGTTTGAGCCTGCGGCGCGGCTGACTCAAGCCTGATTGGGGGGGCGGGTTCCCCTCACAGACTTGAGCCAAAATGGCTTGAGCCAAAATGGCTTGAGCCAAAATGGCTATCTCTCTCTCTTTCCTTTCTTTCTTTCTGCGCACCTAACCCCCCTCTGGTGAGGAGGGCCGCCCGAAGGCGTGCGTTACAGAGTCTCGTGGTTAACCAATGCTGTGGGATTGCTGGGAACTGCGTATTCAAGTATTGGGTATATGGTGGCTAGGAAGCGTGGTCCCCTTCCTCCCCTGTCCAGCATGGTTACCCTTCGTCCCTCCACAGTGTAGGCGGTTCCACGTGCTATACGAGTTGATGAAGCCTCCAATGAATTACCCCCAGCTGCCGAACTATCCCCTTGGTGGAACCTACTGTGGGCTGTTCAGGACGGACTGGTGGCGTGAAACGGTTGGTTGGCCGACTCTCCCCTACACTGCCCCCGTAGATTGATACCCGTTCTGCAGGCTTTTCATGGGGTAAGTATGTCCACAGCTTGCAGTGTTTCGGGCTTTGGTCACAGCGGTGGCCTACAAGTGGGGGGCAGGCATTTCCCGGCAGGTTTAAACGGGGTAAGTGTGTCCACAGCATGCACGACTTTTGGGGTGGTAGTATTTGCGGGTTCATGGGTGGGATGCCTGCTTCCCCGGTTGTCCCAGGCTCTGGAATGGGTACGGGCTCCCCCCGGTCGTTTTATGGGGTGAAGTACGTCCACGGCATGCAGAGTGTCTTGGGCACTAGTTACAACTTTGGGCTGCAGGATTTTCCGGGGTTTTCCAGAGTGCTCCGGATGGGGCAGGCATTCCCCTGGCAGCTTTTTGTTGGGGTAAGTGTGTCCACAGCTTGCACGACTTTCGGGGTAGTTTTTGGGGTAGGTGTGGCAACAGCTTGCACGCTTTTGGGGCGGTGCCTGGTGGTTTGTCTTCGGGTGCATTGACCCGTGGTTGTTCGGGCGCGAGCAGCGGGGTGAGGCGGGTTACGGGTCTCTCTCTCTCTCTCTCTCTCTCTCTCTCTCTCTCTCTCTCTCTCTCTCTCTCTCTCTCTCTCTCCCACGTTCTGCGTCTTCATGGTGTCCCGGGTCGTGTAGTCGTTGGAGAGGTCGGCGTGGTGGCCAGGGTTGGGTGTCTGGTGCGGTGGTCCCCACCTCTTCGGAGGGTGCCTCCTCCGTGGGCTCCCTTTCTCCCTCTGGTGTCCTTTGTCCTTCGCGGGCGTAGTGGAGGACTTGTTGGAGGCGCGGTCCAATGTGATGGCGGTGTAGGCCTCGTTGTACTTGTGTGATCAGCTCCTCCAGGACGTCGACGGCTTTTTGTGCGGCTATGCGGGCCGCCGAGTGTACTTTGGTGCCCCCTGGTGTTGGTGGTTGGTCTTCTTCTCGTTGTATGGCTCCCCGGAAGATAGACGCGATGGCGTTGATGTCCTCGACTAACTCTTCCCTGCTGAGCGCCCGCTGGTATGGCAGCGGGTTGGCCAGGCTGGTGGTGAGCCTGGTGGCTTCTTCCAGCTCCCACGCGGAGTCTGGTGGTGGGGAGGCTTCTTCTCGTGGTGGCGTGGTGGGCGTGTGGAGCGATGGTGGGGGGTCGTCGTGGTCGTAGCCCAGGATGAGCAGACTGGTGGCCAGGTGCGCGATGGCTTCGTCTGGTTGTTCTTGGCGTGTGAGCTGGATGGCTTGGTTGACGTGGGCCGCCACCTCCGGTTTGTGGTTGCTGTCGAGTGGGTGCGGGCGGTGTGTTGGCGTGTCCGGTCGGTTGGTCTTCTGCCGTTGTAGGATCGCGATGGCCATGGTAATGCGGGCTGCTATGTCTCCCTCCAGGAACGGCGTGGTGAGGATCAGCATGTTGATGGCTTCCTGGATGTCGTCATCGTCCGCGGCGGGCTTGTAGTCGTCGAGGAGGTGGGTGTGCAGCGGGCGGGTTTCGTCCCCCTTGTTTGGGCCGGCGGTACTAGGGAGGTTGGTGTGCAATGGGTGGGCTTCTGCTGCTCCTTCGTCCAGGCTTATGACATCGGCCGGGTGTGCCTCTCCCGGGTGTTGGGGTGGTTGGCTCCACTGCGGCGCTCTGACTACTAGATGGTGGGCTTGCTGTGCTTTCTTTGCGAGTTGGCGGGCTCGCTGCAGGGTGTGTTCCCACTGGTCGGGCCGCAGTGGTGGCTTGCCTTTTGGGTGGTGTTGTTGGTGGTGTCGTAGTTGTTGTTCTTGTTGTAATATGGCTATCAAGTGCTGGGCTTCTCCCACCGCTTGCTCTGCTGCTCCCCATTCTTGCCAGTCGGTGACGGTCTGCGCTTGGTCTATTCTCGTTTCCCCTTGTTTGAGCAGTTCTTGTATGAGTGCCAGCTGCTCTGCTACGTCTGCTGTGTACGGGGCCGTGTTTCCTTCCAGTAGGGTTTGGATCTGTGCTGCCGCCTCTGCCAGCTCTGGGGCTCTGTCGGGTGGCGGCGGTGCATTGGCTGCTGGCGGTAGTGGTGGTGGTAGCGGTGGTGGGTGTGCGCTGCTGCATGCGACGGTGCTAAATTGCAGCGGAAGCTGTCTGGGGTCTGGGGCGTGGGTGCGGGCGACGGAGCTGCGCTGGGCTTCTGTGGGCGCGGTGTTGTTGTCGCGGGCTGCCGGTCGTTTCTTGCTGGGCTTGTTTGTTTGCACGAGTGCGTGGTGGTCTGCGTTGTCTGGTGCGTTGGCCGGTGCGTTGGGGTCTGGCTGTTGATGTGGCGTCCGCGTGGACGGCGGGCGGTAGAATGATTGCGGTTCTGCTTGTTGTGGCGTTGTGAGCAGTGGTGGTGGTTGTATCAGCTGTGGTGATTGTTGCGGCGTCGGTGGTGGGTATAGTGGTTGCGGTGGTTGTGGTTCTTGCAGTTGGTGGTCCGTGGCCGGTTGCAGTGGAGGTGGTGTGTCTTCGTGGTCATGCGGCGCGTGTGGGTCTGGCGGGTCGTCGTCGTGGTGGGGTTGCTGCATCGTGGGTGGTTGGGCGGGGGTCGATGGCGTGGAGGGGAAGTACATGTGCAGCCATGACCAGGGTTGTAGTGGCCTGTAGGGTCCTCCTGCCCTGTGTTGGGTCTGTTGGGGGTCTGGGGCGTCGTGGATGATGTGTAGTGTCCATTCGTCTCCCCCTGGTCTGTCCTGGTACAGGAAGCCGGTCAGGCCGGCTGGCCACGCTGGCTGGGGGTTCGTGTTGGCGGTGGTGGATGGCGGCGGTTGTTGTGGCGGTGGTTGTAGCTCGTGGACTTCTATCCACCATCCGTCGAGATGTGGCTGCGCGACTAGTTGCGTGTACGGGCTGATAGGAAGTTCTGGGATGAGCGCGCCCGTGCAGGCCGGTGCTCCATCTGTTTGGCCCTGTTGTACTTCGACGGGTCCCCCGGGCGTGTCTGGGTTGGTATGCATTGGTTGGGGGTCGTCGGTGGCTGGTTGGGTGTCCTGTGGCTCGGGGTGGTGCGCCGTGGGGTGGTGTGGTTGTGTGGGTTGGTTGGTTTCTGCTGCCGTTGTCTGCGTGGTGTCCGGCGGTGGTGGTCTCGGCTTGCGGTGCCGGTTGAGCAGGTCTTCCCAGTCGACCGGTTGCGGTGGTGGCTGTGGTTGGCTGTGCTTGGCTGGTGGCCATTCTCCTGGGTCTATCCAGGTCTCACCGGGTCTGGCCCCCGCAGGGTGGATGCGCCGGGAGTGTTCGCGCAGCCATTGGTCATATTGTGCCTTGATGGTCGGCCGTGTGTCCGTGTTAGCGGGGTCGGGGGGCTGGTAGCGCTGTTGCTGGCGTAGCTCCAGCTTCATCTGGTATTTGGCGTCTTTGTTGCGTTGTCTTCGTGTGGGGTCGGGGTGGGTGTTCGCGCGGGGTGTCTGTGTGGTGTGTTGGTCGGGTGTCTGTGGTTGTGCCGCCGGTGGCACGTGTGTGGTTTGTTGGTCTGTGCTGGCGTCGGTGGGGGGGGCCGGGGCTGTAGGTGGGGTATCGACTGCCGGCGTTTCAGGTGTGTGTTCAGGCCGGGCGTGTGCGGTGTCGGCCCCATGGGTTGCGTCAGCCGGTGGTTGGTTGGGTTGTATGGTCCAGCCGTATTGGTTGACATTGGCTGTCCAGTATCCTGTGGTTGCGTAGTCTGGCTGGTGGCCGGTCCAAGTTGGGGAGTGCCACCAGTGTCCCCAACGCTGGTGCCAGTTTGGGCTCCAGTGTGCGTGCCATTGCCACTGGGCGGTTGGGTAGTGGTAGGCAGTGCCTTGCGACGGGTCCGGTTCGGGGTCTGTGTCGGTCGTCGTCTGTCGGCGCCGTTCCTCGCTGTGCACCTGGTTGCTGGGTGCTTGGTTGGGTTGGCGTCTCGGCTGGTTTGGGTGGGCTGCCTGGGAGGGTTGGGCATGGCTGTTGGTGTCGGTGTTCTGGCCAAGACTTGGTGGGGGTGGTTGCCTTGTGCATCTGTCTGTTCACGGTGTTGCTGTAGCGCTGCTGCCGTGATGGCCCTGCCTGCTTCCGCCGCGTGTGGAGGTGGTCGGTCGCTATGGTGCCTGTTTGGATCCACCGCTGGTGTTCGGCTGGGCTCATCTGTGGCAGCAAGGGGATGCTTGGCGGGGGTGGGTGGAGTTGGACCCATTGTGGTGTGTGTCGGGGCACATGGGTGTTGTCTGGCCAGTCTTGTTGCGTCGCCTGGTGTATTGCCAAGTTTTCTGCTTCTCGGAGTCGTTGGTACGCCACCCATGCGTCTTTGAGCATTCTTTGTGCTTGAACTTGTTCGTGGTGTGGTATAGCCGTGGATTGCGCCGGTGTGAGTGAGAAGGGTGGTGGTGGGGGCGACGGTGCGTGGCCTGGGGGCGTTGGTTGTGGGGGGCTGTGGTAGCTTGAGGGGTAGCCCCATCGTCGTGGTATGTCCGCTGGGTTGGGGGGGTCTGTGTCAGCGCGGGTCAGCGTCGTGTATGGTGTTGGTGCTGTTGCAGGGGTGGGGGTGCGTAGATGGGGGTTTGGGTCGCAGCGGGTGTCTTCGGTGCTGTCGGAGCTGCGTGAGGGTGGCTGCCCCGAGGGTGTGGTTTCCACCGGAGCGGGTGGTGAAGGTGTAGTCTGCGTCGGTGTGGCTAGGCGTGCTGTTGGGCTCGTACTCGTGGATGTAGTCGTGGGGGGGGGCAGTGGGGGTCCGCGGGGGCGCGGTGGGGTAGTTGCGGCGGGGGGGGCCGAGGTGGGTGTTATCGGGCACGTAGTCGAGGGCGTAGGCGAAGATGTAGTCGTGGGTGTAGACGTGGATGTGGTAGTGGCCGTTGACGTAGTCGCGGGTGTGGTCGCGGTTGTAGTCGGGGTGGATGTCTGTGTCGTGGCCGGGGGTGTGGTCCATGGCGTGGTCCAGGGTATAGTCGTCGTTGTGGTCGTGGTCGGCGAAGTCGAGGAGGATGAGGGTGAGGAGGAGGATGTGGTCGTCGACGTAGTCGGGGATGTAGTCGTGGTTGAGGGTGTGGTCGAGGTAGGTGTAGTCGGCGTCGTATTCAGGGGTGTCTCTCTCTCTCTCTCTCTCTAAAATCGAAAAGGTACGCTGTGGGGCCCCGCGTTTTTGAACTTCTGTCTTGTGCCGTTTGTTGCTTGTCTGCATCATTGCGTGCCGGTCTTCATGTATTCTTCTTTCGAAAATGAAAAACACTAAAGACATGATGCCATTGGCTCGGCTGTTGTTGCTTCGCGTTTTGTGTGATTTTTTGGATATGGGTCCCAGTGTGCCATTGCGAAGGGAGGGCGGCAAAAGGTGTCTTGGCGGCCTCCCCCCCCCCTTCCTGCACAAGGTCAACAAACCCAACACCACAAATAACTCGAAAAACGCAGGGCCCCACAGCGTTCCACCCTCTAGAACTAAGCCCCAAACATGCTCTCAATCCTTAACCTCAGACCCTAAGCACCAAGTCCCGGCAACCCCAAGCTCTTGTAGCTCACGGCAACGAAAACCCACTAAAAAAAAAAGAAAATCCGAAATCCCGCCTGACACCTCGCCGAAGAGATTCAGCTTGGAGGTTCCTTGCTTGGAATCTGTCAGTTGCGGCCTTTGGGGGTTTGGAGGCTTGGCAAGGAGTACCCTGGCCTCGTGGTGATTTTTGCATGTCAGGGTTGTTTTGCAGCAATTGCAGGGCCAGGTGCTGCTGATTACCATCCTGTCGCTGCATGACCCCGGCATCTGGTAGCAAGAACAGATCCTTGGGTCTGCACGTCGTTTGGTGCCATACAAAGGTACGTGTGCAAGTGCAGTGAAGTGGCCGGCGTCTGCAGCAGCGCCGTGGCAACCATCACAGCGACACCTTTGAGCCATGGGAGCTCAGAACTTTGTGATGGAAATAAGAGGCCGGGCTGAACGATGCTGCGCACCACGAGGCGATGAACATCCCTCCAAACCCCAAACACCAACATCCGCTCGCTCTGATCAGCCTCATATAACTTCCCCAGCTGCAGCCCCAGGCGCAACCCGTCTCCTGCAAGCACCGCTCGGCATCGCCCGGAGCGTCCACACCACCGTTGGCCACCTGGCAGCCCACTGAAATACCCTTCTTCCGAGGCACCCTTTGCTTGTACCTTCAGTATTCTGGCAGCCCTGCCATCTTTTACGCCTTAAGGAAACCTATGGAGGTCTTGTAATGCCCTACAGGTTTGAAAACCGCCCGGCCGTGGGGAGGCGCAGTGCTTCGCGAACTGCACGGATGGCCTTGCGCCGAGGGATTAGAAGTTGTTCTGTGCGTCACTCGGTGCACATCCAACACCTTCATGAGATCCACCCTGATCCCGGACCTGACCTGCCAGTTGGCGGGTGCATGGTGCAGTGCGCGATCCCGCTGTCGGCCGTGCACCGTGACGAGGGAGCAGCCTGCCTCCTGCTCGGGGGAGGAGAGTTGGTGGGTCTACGGTCTGCGTCCGTCTGCGTCTAGTAATTACACTCGCTCGCGACTTCCGATCATAGTGGCTCCCACGGACCAGTCCTGAAGCAACTTGGCAAATCGCACAGTCTTGCGGTCATCAGCCTGTTGGGAAGTCCCGGTATACCTCTCCTCTTGGTCACTCCTTCTTGTGTCAGGCTACGCGCTAAGCTACGGTGCGCTGTAGAAGCTTCGTCAAGCCGAGATGCAAAGACGCGGATCTTGCAAGTGACAGGCACCCGAAGCGAAGGAGAAGAGACTGCATGTCTCACAATCGCGTAGACGGTGTGCCAGTTCTCTTCCTCCATGAGCGCACCGCCCCATCCACCTTCGCCATTTGACCAACGAAGAAGTTCAACTTTCCCAGCACCCGGTGCCCAAACCCAACGCCGGAGTCCCCAAACCCAAAACCCTAATCCCACCCTATCCCCTAAACCCTAAACCCTAAATCGCACCGTGATCACCGACCAGGTTGCTCTATGCTGTTCTATGTGAGGGTTTAGGGTAAACCCCTTTTGTAAGGAGGGCCCTGTTCTAGAAGGCATTGATATGGGGACCCTAAACCCTAAACCCTAAACCCTAACCCTAAACCCTAAACCCTAAACCCTAAACCCTAAACCCCCATGACAGAGCCTCGCATGGCCTTGGACTGCGGGCAGCCAAGGTTGAGGTCGACCGCATCACACCGGTCCTCACCAAAATAGCCCTGCGCTTCGGGCTTTTCGAGCAGTGCTCCGGGGTTCCAAGGATTAGGGTTTAGGGTTTAGGGCTTCGGGCTTAGGGCTTAGGGTTTAGGGTTTAGGGTTTAGGGTTTAGGATTTAGGGTTTAGGGTTTAGGGTTTAGGGTTCCACCACCTCCTGCACCCACTTGCCACTCCAAAACCCTTACGCCAAACGCCTGAGGCGCTCTGCAAGCCTAGGAAGAACTCTCTGAAAGCCTTGGCACCCGCAAGGCCCCAGGATAACCTATTTTTTAACCCTCTACACCCTTGCCAACTCCCCCTCCAAAAAAAAAACGTTGAAAAAACACAACAATATCTGCCCAAAACAGCCAAAACCCCTTGAGAACTCCCCAAATCCAGCTCCTGCACCTGCAGCGCGGCCTCCAGGAAGGCCTCAGGGGACTTGGCGCAGAACTGCACCACCAGCGGCCTGCACAGCCGGGTGCTTTTTAAGTGGGTTTTTTGTGCTCTTAGGGCTTTCTGGGGGGCTCTATGGGGCCTATAGGGCATGTGTAAAAAGCTTCCCAGGGCTTTAGGGGCTGCCTCTCATGGCCTTTGTCCAAACTGCGGAACGCTGCTTCCATGGCATGCCGTCCAAGGGTGTGCGGATTGAGAGCCAAGCCTGTCTTTTCCTCGCTCTCGTGCGTTTGACTTTGGTCCCAGGTAGTGGCAGGAAATGGGTTCAGGGCCCCAGGATGGCTTAGAGTTCAGACTCAGGAGTTGCGGCAAACAGTGAGCCTCCGACCCTGGCACAGCCGAACCCCTGAACCTGAACGTAAACTTCCTACTGCAAGCCTGTCTTCGGCGCAGGTGGTGAAGCCTTGCCGCGCCATCTCCTCTTCTGAGCTACCTGGTGCCAGGGCCCAGTTTGTGGGGGGCTGCTGATGCTTGGGATGGCCTCAGGTACTTCCGCCCGGCCTGCAAACTCCTCTGCATGCCTCAGCTTCCGAGACGTAGGGTTTAGAGGTTAGGGTTTAGGGTTTGGGGTTTGGGGTTTGGGGTTTGGGGTTTAAGGTTTAGGGTAGTTGAAACGCCCCCCGCCCCCCCCGCCCCCCCCCACCGGTGACTTGACAGTCAGGATACAGCATGGGCGTGTAGCAGAGATCGCAGCCCGACTTCCGCAGGAGGAGCCGATAGGCCAGCTCGGACTGCCCCACCATGGGTGCACACACAAAGCGGGGCGAACCCAGGGTCTCACCTCGAACGACAAAAAGTATCACAAACTCACACAAGCCACCTCTTCTACTGATCCAGGTTGAACAGAAGTATCGGAAGATCTCGCACATGCTAACGTGGAGCTCTACGTGGAGCATCCACTGAGCCCCTGACGGTAGAAGCGCCATGCGTCCCTGACACGGGTGTCCTCATCTGGCAGCTGCCCGAGGCCTTTGCCGCCCCGGGCCATCACCTACAAGTACTCGTAGGCCCTGGCTGCTGCCCTTGCGTGAGCGAATGCTTGGGCTGTTTGGTCAAGGACTGCTCAGATGCGACTGCGTAAGCAAGGTTGTGCTGCTTTCAAGTATGGCAACTATGGCGTTTGGCAAATCTTTGGAGCTCATGTTGGGTTGGAGCCACTGGCTGACATAGCTTCGCATGAAAGCAGCACTGACAACAAGTCACACTGAGCCAGTGAAGCCACTGAAGCGCATGGAGAATTCTTGGTACTGGCAGAATACTGGATACCGGCAGAATAAGGCATGAGCCTCGTGGCATTCTGGCGGCTCCGCTCGCTGGCAGCCAGCTTGCTCTCGACGGCGCGCAGCTGCCAAAAGGATACCGGGGCAGGGTGTGTTCGAGCGCTCGAAGTGAAGCCACGACTGAGACACAAACCAAGTGCTGCCTGTTCATCCTTCTGTTTCAGCAGATGCTCCAGCTCGCGCTCCATCTCTTCCCTGACCTCTGACACAACATATTTCACGTGGGAAAGCCATTTCCTTACGACAGCACGCAGTGAGGGCTGAAGCGGCCAACCGGGCCTGCCCCAGAGCTGCATCGGATGCCTTCCATCTCCATGATTATAGCATATTATAGTTATTATAAGTATTATAGTTCATATAATTATAATAATTATTATGATTATAGTTATTACTTTTCGGTCATCGCAAGTCCATCGAAAGCAAGACCCCGGTTTAGGGCTTTGAGGTGCGAGTTGCGGGCTGCTGTTGTGAATGAGATGTCGCTTCTGCAACGGGTCTGAGGCTGAGCTTTGAAGGATCTTTGAGAATTGAGGGGGGATGGTCTCACAAGAGCATAGGATGATGCTTGGGCTTAGCCAGCCGAAAGAGAAGGGCTGGGTCCATGGAGCTCGAGGGTTCCAGGTTGTTCCAGGGCCCCTAGGGGGTAGGGGCAACTTTGGAGCAATGCCAACTGTCCCCCAAAACCTTTGACTCCCTCTCCAAGCCCTCTTCTTCGGAAACCTTTCAATACCCAGGAGGCCTCAGCGGCCTGCGCCCTCGCACGCTCAGACGCAGCTGAGGCCTCTCAAATAGACAACGCGCCATGGTGGTCTCACACATGTCAGCTACAAAAGACCATGTGCAGATATGCACCCCCCCCCCCCCCCCCCCCCCCGTATCCGCACAAGGCTTGCTCACACCTGCCGATGTGACGCAAGCACAACAGTCTACCCTCGTCTGGTGCCCCAAGGGCACTTCTTCCACGTCCCTTGCGAGACTTTTTAGAACCAGCATGCTGCTGACTGCTGACCTCCTTGTAAGGTGCGTTCGAAAGCTTCCTCCAAGTGGCAAATGCAAATGACTGCCCGCATTTTTCGCAAGAGACCTGATCGCAAGTCTGCTCCACAAAGAGATCGTGCTGCGACAGGAACAATCCCTGACAGTCATGAGCCATGCACTTCTCTCAAGCCATATTCACGCAGCACGCCTTGGCACGAAACGCTTCGAAGAACGCGAACCTCGCAAGAGCTGCAATGTTTAACAGAGAGGCACGCTCCGCTCGCGTGCCTGGAGGCAACGCGGCGAATGGTCTGTATCTCAGCATCTCACTCCGGCAGCGATGGAAGGATCTCAAGAGCTTTGCAGGGGTCAGCGTGACCCGGAATCCGTACATGATAGCATGTTACCAGCCGCCAGCCGTCGTTGTCCAGCCGGCAGCATTTCACGCATGCGTTTCGACAGTGGCAGACACCTGGCGCCGGGCCTCTGCCGCAACCATTTCCGGGGTTCAGAATGGCTCGTAAGCATCATCTATGGGAGGATGGTCGCCAGCATTCTCCCCCATGTTGCCAGCCGCCATGCCATTGACTCTCTCGGTCTTTCTGCACGGTCGCATACTTTTTGGCACGCGGCGGCTGCGCATTTCGCAATTTGCCACCGGGCGATACTGCAGGAACGTATTCCTGGCGCAGAGCCGCACGTCTATCTCCTCATCATCGTCAATGTCGTCTGCTGCTGCGCTTGCCAAGGGCTCGAGGTGGGCTGGACCTGCACGAGCGGGAGGCCGTGGAGGCCGCAAATCTTCCGGGGGCTTCTGGCGCTCCCAACAACAGCAAAGCGACGCTTGAGCGAAATCTGCATGTCGCCACTTGGAAATACAGGGCCTATAGTACACAACTGCCCAAGGCATGGTGCGTTGCTGCGGTGTGCTTGTTTTGCAAGTCCCTGCTGCAGCCTGCTGCAGCTATCTGTACCCGAGATTTACGGGAGATGCAACGCTAGTGAAACACTTGAGAAAAAAGTGGAAAGAAATGGTCAACACCTGCATGGGTAGCACGCGGCCTTGATCCTCAAATCATAGCTTCCCCTCCAACACATGCGGCACGCCTCCTGTCGCAGCAGGTCGGCCTATCACAAGGCGGGCTTGGGTATGATTTTTCACAAGCATCAGCAAGGCTCTTCCATGGCAGTCATGTGTCGCATGTGTCGCACACACGCCTCTCGCTGAAACTGCGCAGATCTGGCCTGCCGCAAGTACGTGATCAATGGCATATGATGCGAAGGCCGGTTTTGCACAAAAGGAAGTTGGAAAAACAGATGTCACAGTAAGGCGACGCAAAGCTTTCAGGCTTCAAGGGATTCTTGTCGAGGCCCCACCCTGAGAGGCCTCCGCCTGTTGACGGGCAGCCTGCGCCTCCCTGCAGTCGGGAGATTGCGTGGCTTCCGATAGCGTGACAGTGAAGCGAATACTTTTATCAGGGCTGAAATCATCGAAGTGAACTGGGCGGCCGGCGTAAGCTGCATGGTCACGCAGCCCATCTTCTCCGAGAGCTGGCAAGCGCAGTCGAGGGCGCCCGCTTTCCCACGTAAAGCCCGAAACTTGGACTCAGTTCTCACGACGCCCCTCCCAAGGCAAGCTTAGGTGCAAAGGAGAGGCAAGGTTTCATGAACCCAAGTGCCCTCAGAACCCAGCCTCCCCTACTAAAAGCCTCCAGAAGCTCCCCCAAGCCCCCGAAGGGCCCCCGAATGCCACCACAAAAGCCACCGAAAGACTACTGTAAAACCTAAACCCTAAACCCTAAACCCTGAACCCTGAACCCTGAACCCTGAACCCTAAAACCCGAAACCCGAAACCCTAAACCCTAAACCCTAAACCCTAGCGCGGCTTCTTGCTGCACCTGCAACTCCACGCCCTTGGCCACGGCGGCTTCGGACTCGAGCTCCTCAATGCGGGCCTGGCTTCGGGTATCTGTGATTCTCACCTGGGAGTGTCTCGGGTCTCCCTGAGCCTAAACCCTAAACCTTAAACCCTAAACCCTAAACCCTAAACCAGAAGCCGGGGACCATCTGGGACCACTGGAGATTCATGAGCCCCACTGCCGAGCCTGCAGGTGAGCTATTTGCTGCACGGCGCCCATGAGGCGCGCCTGTTGCCAAGGCAGGGTTTAGGGTTTCGGGTTTAGGGTTTAGGGTTTAGGGTTTAGGGTTTAGGGTTTAGGGTTTAGGGTTTAGGGATGTTTAGGGTTTAGGGTTTAGGGTTTAGGATGAGGGAAGCCGGGCAACCAGGGGCCCTCACATTCGAGCATGACAAACTCAGGCAAGGCAAGATTCAGGATGTGATCACTGTGGTCGGAGGGCACTCAGCTGTAGCGGCTAGCTTTTTGCCCCTCATTGCCACTGCTGTCTGCCAGGTTCCTTCAGAAGCCCGGCACAAGGGGCTTGGGGCCACCCCTCCACGTTGAAAGGGGCAGATGCCATTCCGGTAAACCCTGAACCCTGAGCCCTGAACCCTACTTGGAGGTTCAGGGTACTTATAACTCCAAGTATAAGTGCACTTGTCAGCCCCCTAAGTCCTCTAAGTAGGTTATAAGCAGACTCATAATTTTGGCTAGAAGTACCCATGAACCTCCCAAGTCGAGGTGCTGCAAAGACCTCTACCAGACCAAGGGGCGAAAGCGGTCTCGACTTTTGTACATTACCCGGCGCGCCCGGGCCTTGCATTCAGGAGCATGAATACAGGGGACCCTTGTTGGGCAGGGTTTGCTTAAGGTTTAAGGGCTTAGGGCTTGGGGTTTAGGATGTAGGGTTTAGGGTATCTAGGCATCATTGGCTTCACTTTGCCAGCTCGGCGCCACGGAGGAGACCTCCTCGACCTCGACGAGTGCGCGCGGCGTCCTGCCCCGCATGCTTTAAGGGGGCTTTTCGCTTCTTTCAGGGTGTTTTCGCAAAGGGCTTCAGGGGCCTTTGGAGCACAGGGCTTACAGAGTCGGCAGCTCTTGCACCGAACAACATTGTCCAAGCGCATTTATTGGGGCAGACCGATCCTTGTGGGACTCTGCCGGGAAGGTGGGCGGATCTCCTTCTCACGGATCTCGTGCTGGATGTTCCTTGCCGGGCCATGTCCAGCGCCAGGTTAAACCTAACCCTCAAACCCTATAAGCCTTAAGCCCTAAGCCCTAGCCTTAGCCCGAAAACCCCGACTCCACCCCCTCTCAAGCCTCCGCCTCGGGTATTGGAATGCGCGGAGATCGCCTCGGCTGAGGTGCACGTAAGGTGTGGGGGGCTGCTTTCTGTAGTCCCTCAGAGCTGTTCGGGCAGTGAGGCCCCCACTCAGCAGTTCCTGCACCTTTGGCTTCAACTGCCGGGGCAGCCTCTCTTCCGCCTCTTTTTGCAAGGCCAGGCACAGAATCGGATGGCAGGACTCCGCAAGCTGGTAAGGTCAGCAGACGGCATATGTATGTGTATTGTATGATATATACATATATATATATGTAGGTGTGTATATATATGTTGACATATTATACATGTTAAACGATTTGCTTATACATACACACACACACACACACACACACACAGACTTCCAAAATTGGAAGGCCCCTCATATCACAAGGAAGTCCAGAAATCCTGGAACCTTTGCGCTTCGCAGCTTGCAGGCCTTGTCCTTTTCCCTCCTCGGCTCGAAAGGAACACGGGATCCTGGAACCTTCCTGTACAGTCCTCATGGGACTCCAGTGCCCCTAGGGTTCCACTCTTGCCGCAAACAGCTCGGGGTGCCGACCGAACTTGGGGGACACGTGAGGAACCCGGAATTTTGTGATCAGAAGAGGCGAAAGCCATAGCGGCCAGGGGTCTCAAAGTGGCGGTCGTAGACCGTGGCAATGCAGTGATGGCAGGGTGGCCGCCCAACATGTTGCCTGTCTGTTGTTTGGCCACTGTCGCATACTACTAGGAGATCGTCGATGCCTCCTTTAGGGTTACCCAGATGACAGGCGCGTTCAGGGTCCTGGACCCAAAGCAGCCAAGCTGCCGGAGGACTTCGAAGGAGGCCTCGTCATCGAAGGTCATGGACTCTGCCAGGCTGTCCCGATGGGTCGACATCCAGCCCCAATCCATCGAGGACCGGAGCAGGCTGTCCTGAGCATCAGACACCCCTCAGACAACCCTTGAGGTCACTTCAGGGCCTACAGCCTGTAGGGCTTTTAGGGTGTTAGATATTTTTTAAGCGTTTGACTGACCCCGACCCCCGCCTGCCAGGTTGAGCGGGCCTCAGGCATGATGCTCTGGTCCAGGAAGCCTGCAACTCCCAGAGAACTTGGCTTCGTAGGGCTTATACGGCTTAGGGCCCTTCGAAAGGGACTTCAGGAGGGTCCAGTGGGTGCAAGAATCCGGGTGCAAACAGCCGCCACTGCTCCTTGGCTGTCCATGATGGCCGCAGGCTGCACACTGCCTGTCCGCAGCTGACCTCGTTGGGAACTATACGCGCGAAACCCCCAAACCCACCAAAAAAAAGGGTTCAAAAGCTTGGGCGTTCTTGCCGGTAGTAGTATTACCAACGAGGCTTTGGGGACTTCCCGGGCTTAGTAGGCCTGTTTGCCTTTTTTTCTGGGTCCACATAGTTATAGGGGCTTCTGGACCGGCCACCTCGCAGCTGCCGCGCCCGCGGCAGGGTCCTTGGCAGCGGGGTGAGGCGGCCGCGGCGTCGGGGTGTGGCCGCAAAGCCCTGTGGGGAGGCACATGGAGGCACATGAATTCGCGTAGGGAAGATTCGGGGATGTGGGGACAGCAAGTGAGTTCGGGCTTAGGGGTGTTGATGAAGTTCTGGCTTGATCGTCGGCGGCTGTCGAGCTGTGATGTCCAGGAGACTACACCCTGCGCAAAGCTCGCCCTTGTAAGGCTTACCTCGCACAAACCTCTGGAACATCAAATTGGCCTGTGCCGGCCCGCGGATTTGGGAGGGCGATGCATCGACATCGGATTCCAGGCTCATCGACCAACTGCCTATGCGCCTATGAAACGAAAGTCTTCGAGAAGGTAGCAAGGCATTGTGGCTTTTGACTGGCTTTCCCGTTCTAGCATGCCAGGTTGACGCTGAGTCACAGATCTGCACTGACTAAACGAATCACAGTCCATGTTCATGTTGTGCTTGAGCCCACACAGGTCCGAGTGGCGAAATTGAAGCAAGTGTTTGGAGAATAGCCTCTAGGTTTCCGGGTTCGCGCGCAGGGTCGTGTTTTCTTGCATCGAGATGAATGGTTTAAAGTGCTGACATCGGGATGATCACTGTGCCGTCTGGGACCTTTCAGATTTGCCCACATCGCACCCTAAACCCAACCCCCGAATCCCTCGTGCCGTTCAATGGCCTCGTATTCTGTGCGCAGCTGGGCCACCTGGAGGGAAATTGGCACACCGGAGGCTAGGAGGCTGCTCAGCTGCTTGTCGGGCACAAAGGCGATGCGTTGGAGGTTTTAGGTGTTTTTTTTCGATAAACTGAGGCGAGACCGGTATCCGCTGGCTGTGATAGAACTCAGGTGGAAGACGCGACGCTGCTACATACTGCCTACAAGCTCTATGATTGCCACTGCACCCTCGACATGGTCCGACCTCGCTCTGGTCCACTCCGCGCGCCACCTCGCTCGGATCACTTGGCATCTCCGATGCTGGAGGCTCCTGGGAGTAACTTCGGAGCGACTTGTCGGAGGTGCTCGAAGCTGCTCGACGATTGTCAGGTCGTTTGGGTGCAAGCACACTGAAGTACCTTAACTCAGACCTCAAAAACTACGGTATCACGGTACAGAGAAGGCAGAGGTTCGTAGCCTTGCAGCCATCCCCGAGGCCTCCAAGACATCGGGCCGTCCGTTGGCTTCCGCGGCAGAGTCCGGGCCACGAGCAGCCGGCACGAGGTCCTCAAAAAGAATCGCAAGAAGCTGCAAACCCTTTGGGAAACTTCCGGAGTGAACCCTTCAATGACTTCTCGCTTGCGGATCGAGATGGATGGAGTAGAATGAATGATAACCCTAAACCCTAAACCCTAAAAACCCCAAAAACCCCAAAAACCCTAAAAACCCAAAAAAACCCTAAAAAACCCTAAAAAACCTTAAAAAACCCTAAAAGCCCTCAAGGAAGGGCCTCTGGATCCTCTGGCTCCGGCGCGCTGGAGGCTGGCCCTCCGTTGGCATGCGGCTCCAATGAGGGCCCAGCTTCCACCGCTTCAACAGCCTCCTAAGCTTGGCTGCACTCAGGAGGGTAGCTATAAATTAAACTTTTAGCTGCCTTAATAAGAAACCCAATAAACACAAAAAAGGTAAGGATCAAAAGTTACAGTAAAGTACCACAAAGTAAGCTGAGGGGAACGGGGGAGTCACAGGGCTCAGTTGGCTCAGTGCCTCGGGAAGTGCGGGCCTGCAGGCAAGTAAACCCCCAGAGACGACCTTAAAACGACCCTAAACCCTAAACCCTAAACCCTAAACCCTAAACCCTAAACCCTAACTCCTCTGGTTTTTCAATCCCTGCCGGGTCAAGGTCTGAGCCTCACGCCAAGGCCTGGCTGGCCTGGCTGGCATGGCCGTTGGCCTTCACGGTCGTGATGGGAGACGCTTTGAGGGACTGCATCTTGGGATTTTGGGTTTATTGTTGGGGGTATGTTCAGGTCTTCAGATCGAGTGATCATGAGGGATGGGCGCGTTCTACCTCCATTAAAAGACACAGCAAGGTGATGTTCAAGCAGCCCCCCTGTGCCTGCTCTTCAAACTTCACTTCATGAAGTCGCCAAAATTTGCAGTCATTTCTCAGTCACCCTACGTTGCTGTGCCACCCCCCCCACCCACCCACCCACGCTTGCAGGCTTGACGGAGTGCTGCCGAACCCTCTGCCGGCGGGCCTGGATGTCCAGGGTTTGCTCTGTGGGCTGGCTGACCTCCTGAGTGGTTGCACGTGCCACCTAGTCTACACTCATCCAAGCCTGAACTCTGCGCAAGCACGCGCTCTATGCTGCCCTGCATGTTTGGCAGAGAAATGCGTGCACCTGTCTCGTCAACTGCTGACGCGCCTCGAGAAGTATCGCTGGTTGCTGCGCAGCCACCTGCGACATCCACTCCTCCGTCCCTCCAGCATCAGGTGGATCTGCCTGGCTGTTGACATATGGGTCCGCAGGGGAAGTGCAGAAGTCTCCAGAGCCTCCACGCCAAGACCATCCCGAAGCACCTGCCACAGCTAGTGAGAGTCAGCTTCTTCGTGTTTCGAGTCTCAGTTGACAAGTAGGAAGAAAAAACGTCAAGAAAGCAGACGCAATCCGCGAGCCGGCCTCGGGTGGCTCGGCGCGGGCTGGCTCACCAGGAGTGGCCTGTTGCAATGAGCAAAGAAGCCCTTGAAGCCCTTTGAAGCCCTGAGACTAAGTGCCCCGCATCACAAGAACCCCGAGATTGGACAGCAGACACATGCGGCCTCCGCGAGCGCATCCTCGACGCGATGATACTCCTGAGGCTCACCCCTGCATCGGAGGAGGCGTTAAGGTCAAGGCTGGCCGCGTCAGTTCTTTGCCTCCTCTTCACTATCGCACCAGCGAAGAATCTTGCAGTGAAACGAAACGTGGTAAAGAGGCCAGCGGGCTCGGCTCACCCGTGAGGGTTTAGGTGGCATACTATATTTTCAAAAATTTCTGTTGTAGTGCCTCAGAAACCCTGCACTGCTTCTCAACGCCGCTTGCCGCCAGCCGCTACCAGATCTTGCCTTCGGCAAGTTGCTTCTAGCGCCCATCCAGACTTGCTTGATGCGTCTCGGGCATGCTCTGTAGCTCGCATGGCGACTGTCATCGCATACACGACCCTGGAACTATAAGGAATATATTAATATACTAGCTCCAAAAAGGCCACAATGATCACAATGTAGAACAACCCGCCCTACCTATTTCCTATGTTACTTGCTCACGTGCCTATCTTTACCTTTTGGCATACAAATTGAGCTATTTCCTATGTTACTTGCTCACGTGACTATCCTATCCTATCTTTACCTTTTTGGCATACAGATTGTGGACTGTGGACGATACAGCGATCACTGTCTGCCACGCAGCCAAACCCCTCTCACTGCCCAGGGCTCATGTAGTTGCATCGCCTTCTGTAGAAGCCTTGCATATTGGGCACACCAGCATGCTGGAATATGCACAAAGCAGAAGGCTCCCAGACGATCATCGTCTTGCGCGGGAATGCATGCGTGGGCGCCCTGCACTCGTGATCTGCAGGCAGCAGGTCGTTTGTCCGACCGATCTCCAACTCTCCGATACCTTGGGCATCTAAGCCATCTAAGCTTGCACGGAAATAATGGGGGAAGCCGGCGTTGCAGAGATGTTAAGCGTGACAGCGTATGGGCTGAGGGCTTTCGAATCTGCAGCGTCGCGACTCATCGTGGGAGTCGAGTGGTTGCGCTTCACTTTGCCGAACTCAGAGACGTAGCCTAAGTGCAATGTGAACAAGCGTCCACAAGCAATCCTGGTATTCATGACGCGCTTGGACGAACCCTGAGCTGTCGATTGAACCTGAAAGCTCCCCGGCACTTGGACACGTGCCAGACAAATGACAGCGCGGGCGACTCTTGCAGCAGCTGCATTGGCAGCAAGCAGAATCCCACGCCCAGGACACGTAACATCACCGGCGCAGTCCGCCCCCCCCTAATACTGCGAAAAGCAAGGTAGGGACCTGCTAGTTCGACTTGCAGTTTTGCTGAGGGCTCTTGAACTCTTGCCTCTCATCCTTTCTCAGAACGAAAACCAGCCGCAAGCGCGTCGCTAGCGTCGGCCGGGCAGCTGCTCTTCTCCGGCGGGCCCTCCCACTTCGAGATGAAGCCAAGGTTGGGCTTTGGAAGCAGGATCTGGCCTCGCGGGTTTGAGTTCAGGGTTGGCGAGGGCTGAGAGGGTTTTAGGTCTCCGGGTTCAGGGTTCAGGGTTCAGGGCTGATAGAGGGTTCAGGAGTTGTAGGGTTTCGGGTTTGTACCCCCCCCCCCCAGCCCCAATATTCAATATCAAACCGTCCCCATAGCAACAGGGAGCCCAACATTTAATGCTGCTCAGGGTTTGTAAGGTGCAAGGCGGATCCCCGGCCTGCTTTCGCCAAATCTTGTGGATGCGCATGGTAGCTGACCTGTGCGCATATTACCTTCTGTCATTTGGAGCTTAAGGGTTATTCGGGCTTAGGGAGCTCAACACGTTATGAAGGTGTCTCTGGTCTCCTTCCCCCCAAACGGAAGTTTGCTGCACCCTCCCTTCCTGCCCTGTGGAACCTGCCGAACCGGTTGGAGGAGCCGCAATCCGATGTTTCTCCGAGACCATTCCTGACACCTTTTCCAGGGACCCGCCTGGGACCCATTTGTGGGAATTCTGCGACCTCCTTCAGACCTCCCCTCCTGAACTCACGACGTGCGTGGTGCGACAGCAAATGACAGGCGGACAAGAGCAAGCGTTTACAATTTCCTCCTTAGTAAGCAAACTATCACTGTACTGCCTTTGCAGGTGCTTCAGTTGGTTCACAAGCAATCTGACTACTGGTTGCTTCCAAGATGCGTGTGACAATGGCCGCGTCTCCAGTAAGTCCGTCATGCCTGGCAAAAGGGTTTCTGAAACCGAGTGCATCAACCATTGCTAGCTGGTCGCCGAGGGGGCCAGGAATCAGCAAAGCAAGCCAAAACCATCCTATATCCAACAGAACAAGAACAGACAGGCAAGTACGAGCAGCGACAAAGAGGAGGACCCACGGGATCACGTGCCTGTGATGGTGTGTGTCCTCGCGTTCGTGGGCTTCACACTCTTCATCTTGGCAGATCTCAGACGGTTACCAGTGTAACCTTGGCTGCATTGCGAAGATTCAAGCAGTTCGGATCTATCTGCGGGTGAATTCTCTTAGAGGCTGAACAAGGCTTCTCAGCCATATTGCAACCACGCCACCTTCGAAGGTGTCCTGAGGGTTGAACCCCAAGAGGCCATTGCACTCTCAGCATCTCGAAACCCCCACCCCTCAAGCCTGAACTCCCCCCCCCCCCCCAAATACCCCCTCAACACCCCCAAGTCCTAAACCCAACCGAAAAATTCCCAAACCCACTAAAATTTTTAAACCCTCTTGCCGCTTGCCTGGTAGTAGCTGGTCTTCGGCATCTCTGCGTTGGAGCCAGCAGCATTCCCCTTCCAGCCGGCCTCAGGGGTTTCGGGTTTCTTAGGTGGGGTCTTTGGAGTTGTGTAGATGTTAAAGGGCTTTTAGGGTTTAGGCTTTCAGGGTGCAGGGTCTGAAGGTTTGAGTTTTGGGGTTTAGCGTTCTGGGCTTTTTCGGCTTCAGGGTTTGGCCTCTTTGGGGCTTGAGGGGCTTAGGGGGCTTTCGAAGGGCAGGGCACAGGGCGTGGGTCGGGGACGGTCGGGGGGGTGGGGTGGTGGCATATGGGGGGGGGTGGCCCAAACAGTTCAGGGCCGAAAGGGCTTTACAAAGGCCGTGAGAACCCGTCAACTCGTACGCCCGCAAAAAGCCCCACAACGGGCGCCTTAAAGCTGGCCGCCAGCATGGCATTGACCTTCACCAAGGAAGCTGCAGCCCATGCCCTAAACCCTAAACCGTAAACACTAGCTTATGGACCCTTTCCGCGTGCCGATTGTCGCACAATTCCAGCCTTATTTCAGGTCTGGAGCTTGTGCTGTCGCGCTAAGCCTAACTTCTTCCAGCCTTGTTGTCGCCCAGCGGGTGCTCGGTGAAGTCCCGGCGGCTGTTGACTGCGCTGTAGTCGAGCAGCGGGGCCTGAGAGCCGGCCAGGAGCAAACTCCCTGTGCCGTGGGCCCTGAACATTCTAAACCCTACACTGCACTCCCTACCCTGCAAAATCGTGCTCGTGTCCCGTTTCACAGCTGCAAGATCCGGGCGGTGCTCTTCTGAAACTTCATGTAGGGAGATTCCTGCACCATCATCATGCAACCGCACATGACTGCAGATGGAGGTGGAGCCGGGGAGGGTAGGAACAAAGGCTCCTTCCGGCCGATGTTGTGGATGCCGGCGAAATTCTCCCCTCGATCTTCAGAGCATGGGATACGGCCGGCCACTCCTCCCGCAGGTGGCACTGTCAGAGTTGAAAGAGGCTCAGACGGGTTTAGGGCGACCCGGCATGAACCGGGCACGATGTATGGTCCGGCCTGTGTTGTAGGCGGTACGATACGTCAGCCTGACCTCACATACAGCGAAAGCCACACTTTGTGCAGCCCAGACTTGAAACATGACCGTTGAGCTGCAACGCTCTCACACAAAGCCCGATCCTCGGACACAGCAAGATTCCTGATTCCTGAGCCTATGGCATACAACTTCTGTGGCTCAGGTCAGATGCAACTCCGAAGGTGCTACATCTTCCCCTCAATTCCTTTCAAAGCAGTCTGCGGATCGCGAAGTCCCTAAACCCCCACAACACCACACAAAACCCCCAAAACCCCTTCTCATTCCAAAGAAACAAGTCATTCCCAGGCACGAGGTCATCGGTTGGCACACTCTTGACCGCCGAGCTGCCCGGCAGGCACCCTGGGTTTGCACTGAGGGCGAAAGGCATGCCACACAGCATACAAGATCCAGGGCTCAGGGCGCGCCAAGTCCACGAGCGATTTATTGAGAGGCTTTGCTTGGGCGAACGATCGAATGTTACAGGCGGGAATCGATGGATACACTGTCGACTACCATGATTACCAGACACTCGCCATCACTGGACAAGGAGCCCGTGGACTTGTACACGACCTGACACAAAAGCGGAAGGTTGAAGGCAGTGGACAAGGCTCGCTGCTCAAAAGGTTCAAAGGCTTTCCAGCTGCTATCTTCCAGGCCTTGTGCGACGCCATGGGGCACCCGGGCAAACGGCCGCAAAGGCAGCTGTAGAGCCGCTCAAGATAACGGGAAGCATTCTCCGGACTCCAGACATCGAAACATACTCATGTGTCTGGTGCCCGAAGTCAACAGCAGCTGCAGCGTCACCACTACAACCGTCTGTCTCTCAAAAAAGTGTGTTGTGAAGCCCGGGCCCTAGGCACCAATGATGCCATGACGGGACCACGACGACGTCTTGATGTTGGACTCGCTGGTCCAGTCTTTTGCTCGGACCTCTTTTTAGGATCCAGTCTCCTCACTGCTGCAGTGGTGCCCAGCCTTTGCCCGCCATGCGATACCATGTCACGCCTGCAACGAACATGTCTTCCCATCCCAGGCGCTCGGCTTTTGCCATGATTTCTGCACTGCGGACTTCGATCTCGTCTTTGACACAATTCTGCACTCAGCGCAGCAGTCGTTAAGACCGAGACCCCGACAAAAGCTTGATCGGTCGCGGCGATTGTAGCAGTCTGCGAAACTGAGGGTGCCCTGACTGGCGTACACTAGCCTCACTAACCACCGACGGCTATCTTCTGACGGGGTCTCGAAACAAGATCTGGCACAGGAAAAATGGCTACCCAATTCGCAAGCATTGTTGGGCTGCGCTGCCCTATCAGCGTGGGCAGGATCACAAACGATAGAGACATGGGGCATGTGTCGTATGTATTCTCGAAGTTAGTTTCAACATGCGCAAGATGCAACAACCATTCAACAGAAAGACTAGAAGTGATGGGTCTACTCAGCTGGGGCAGGCGTCTGCAACACCAACCGCAAGCCATACGAATTGCTTCCGGCAGCCACTGCGCAGTCAGAGTTGAAGCAAGCCCTGTACAGTAGCGAGGAAGCGTGCAGATGGGAATGCGGTATCGGATGATGGATTCCCATCTGCCCCTCCCGCCTTTTTCAACTCCAGGCTGTGCATGCTCTCAATACCAGCCACCCTTCTGTCCAGGCCACATGTACCATCCACCTTGGGTTTTCGGAGTTTCGTCTGAGGCATCTTCGAACCCTGCACCGTGCAGCCGAGCATCCTTTCGGCCCCCAGGTCCAAGCGCCTTTGCCCGCCCAGTTCTGCCCCTGGCACGCCAGAAACGCTTCCAAGTGCTTCCGGGTTATAGAACCAGCGGCAACCAGAAGCGGCAAGGTTGCCGAAAACTGCCCTCCCCCGGGCCCACACCTTCATGGGGTAGTATTGGTGCTGCTGCGCCTGCTGGCCTTGCATCGAGGTTCAACATGCCCCAGTGTGCAGCACTACCCTACTGCCCTTCGCGCCTTTGTACCCGTGGGATGGAGGGCTCCCCTTTTGCGCGGCAGGGCTCCCCTTTTGCGCAGCCACAGGCGCCTCACCGCATCTCACAGCCATCTCTCCCTCTCTTCTACACTGCCATGGTGCTGATATGTAAACATGGTCTGAAAGCTGCTGCATGCTTCTTTGCCCCGAATGCACGAAGCCCATGATCCCTGCAACTAGAACCCGACGCCCCTCCTCTCCAAGCATCCGAAACCCAATTACCCAAACACACCGCCACAAAAGAGGCTTTTTCCCAACAAGAAGGGGCGGCGGCTAGTGCCTGGGAGGTTTCTGCAGCGCCCTTGCCAGGCTCGGACCAGCCTTTGCCTTTACCCTGCGCAGCCTGGAAGACACAGCGGAGGAATTTGAAAACCCGTTTATCACTTAAGTTTAGATTCGGGGACCCAGATCCTACAGCCATCGGTCCCTGACGTCGTATTCCCCAAACGCCCCACCCTCCATGCTAAACTCTCAGATAAAGGACAGAATTCGTTCTGTCCCACGGCAGAAGGACGCTCACTGGGTGAAAAAAGGACCCCTGCAGCCTTGCACACTAATGCACACTACAGCCCGCAACCCAGTCTGCAACTCACCTGCCTGGGCGGGCTTGGCTTTGGTGGTGGCTACCTTGGCCGGGCGCGGGGCCTGGCAGCCACAGGCAATACATGTGGGCTTCCGAGATTAGGGGTACGGTACCTTCTTGGGATGCTGACTATATGGTGATCCTACCATTTGGGGACTATTTTCGGGTTTCGCAAGCCCCACATGATAACACTGGGTTCTGGCAGCGGTGGGACTGCGCTTCGCTGTTTCTAAGGACTTGTGGAGTCCTCCACACTGCCTCCGATTGCGTCTGCGGCGCTGCTTCTGGGCCGGCAGCTTGCGTTCCTTGAAAGGACCAAGACCACGATCGATGGAATTCGGGAAAGGATGCAGATCATGATCTCTTGACTGGGCATTAGGATGGAATTCATGGAAGACCCAAACTCAAGATCTTTTGATTGGATATTAGGATGGAAGGGGTCAATTCTACATTCGATCTTTTAGATATTTGGATGGAATTCAAAGAAGGATCGAGATCATGATCTTTCGATTGGGTCTTAGGATGGAATTCATGGAAGAACCTCAACATTCGATCTTTTCAGAAATTTGGATGGAATTCAAGGAAGGATCAAGATCATGATCTTTCGGTTGGATATAGAGCCACGGTCACAGTCGCACCGACCAAGCTCGCTGATGGGTACAAGGGGTCACGCCCACCAGATGAAATGCATGGCTCGTGAAGCCATGAAAGTTCCGAAAAAAAGATGCCCAAATTTTTGGGGGTGCCCTGCTTGGGAGACATCACATGTACAGGTTCCGCACGATTCCATGGTTACAGCGCCTTTCCACCTTATTTGGAGGAAAACGTACCCTACCACAGTGTTGAGTTTAGAGCTCTTTCGGATGATCGTGGGAGCTCTCGACATGGGCTGGAACATCGACGATGGCCATCATGAACCTGCTTCCAGCCAGAAGATGACACCTCTGCCGGCTACCCCCTGACAGTCAGGAATCCGATGTTGCCGATTGAGGATGCAGGAGGTTGCGGAATAGGAGACGGGGCACATCGCTCGGCGGCCGGCTCCTCTAAAAGAATGATGCCAAGAATAGGGCCTGATCAAGCCCAGATACCTGCAAAAAAACCCGAGATGTTCGCAGTGCGTGGAAATTGCTCCACAGGTTCAATCCTAGCTGTTGTGTAAGCACCACCATCTAGACGCACCACACAACGGAAGTATGCCTCTGACTTACCTTTTCTGCCCTCCGCCGCCCTTCCTGCCGAGGCTCGGAAGAAGCCCGGCGCTGGCAGCACGAAGCCCACTTCGGCCGCGTCCTCGCCCTCTGGGCTGCCACGAAAGAGCAGCAGAAACTCCCGAGAGAAGATGTGGTCCTGGGGGATTTTTACGCAAAAACACTCCAGACTCTCCCCCGCCCACAAGAAACGCTTCCACCCTCCTCCTCCTCCTCCCCCCGCTTCTCAAACATGCGGCCTGCGGTTTACAGTACTTCAAGCGGGGCCTCGGCATGGGCCTCGAGCACGGCCGTGAGGTCCATGGACTTCCTCCTTTCCGTCGGTTTTCCGAAGGAAGGGTTTAGGCTTTAGGGTTTAGGGTTCAGGGTCGCGTACCTCGAAGGGCTTGGAAAGCCTTTACACCACAATCGTGAAGTGAACGGAAACAACTACCCGTTTTTGCTACTTTTGGCCACCCGCCAAAGCGCCTCGAACTTTCGTATGTTTTGCTCAAGTCAGAGAACGGCCAACGTTTAGAAGATCACAATGGAAAACACATGGCGAACATATTTGGTGAAGGCAAAGATGCCCACCAGGACCGGCACAACCTTGGGTGATGAGCCGTCAGTTTCCAGAAATCAACTGAAGCCTTGTGAGAACTCAGTCGGGTGGACTTCTCAAGCTCCTCTCCTGGGCTTGCACGACTCCACTTCACCGTTGATGCCGAAGGAGCTCGCCCGTGAGAGCGAATCTGCCAGCTCAAAGTCATGAAAACTTGGGCTCGGGAACAGTATGGCACGTATTCCCTAGTGCCGCACCACTTACACCCGCATAACATCTCTGAACAGCCTAAACCCTAAACCTTAAATCCTAGCCTTAAACCCTAAACCCTAAGCTCCCTCAATCGAGGGCTGCCTTTGGGTGTGCTGATCGGCGTATAGCCCAGGCCCGGCGGGTAGGGCCGCGACGTGGAGAGCGTTCGCCCCAGACTCACCTCCGAGCCCGTGGAGATCCTTAGAACGGAGTCTCGGAGTCTTAAAGCTGGGTTTCGGCCTTTTAAGGTTTAGGGTTTAGGGTTTAGGGTTTAGGGTTTAGGGTTTCAAAGATGTGTTTGGAGGAGTTCAGGGTCCAGGCCAGGATCTGGCACAACCCCAGCAGCCTACCAGTATACAATGGCATGCCCGTCTCGCGCGTGCCGGCCAAAGGTCGTGCGCACGATCGGGGAAGGCGCCAGGATCCTTTGCACCGGACCTTGCGGCGGCAAAAGCCCTCGAAGGGCTGGCTTCGGCTACTTGGGGGTTCTCTCTTACGGCATCATTCCTTCGGCCTTCGGAGCACACAAATGGGATCATACATGAGAACCCTAAACCCTAAACCCTAAACCCTAAACCCTAAACCCTAAACCCTAAACCCTAAACCCTAAACCCCTTAGTCTCTGGCTGCCAGCAGCCAGCGGCGTGAGGCCCATGCCAGGCGGATAGGCCACGGACTGGCACAGGATGCGGAGATGAAGGCAGCGTTTAGGGTATAGGGTTTAGGGTTTAGGGTTTAGGGTTTAGGGTTTAGGGTTTAGGGTTTAGGTTTGAGGGTTTAGGGTTTAGGGTTTAGGGTTTAGGGTTTAGGCAGGGTTTAGGGTATTGCATCTGCCTCTTTTGACCTTTTGTTGAGAGCTCGCCAAAGGCTCAGTGAGCGTGGATCTTCGAAACTGTCCTTGAGAGAACTCTGCCCGACTGCTCGGGGTTCATAACTTGGCAGTCGTGCGGCTTTGGGAGTCAAGTGCGACGACGGCGACCAGTAGGTTGTCGATGAGGAAAGCGCCTTGGTGTTTGCCGTTTCTTGCTCCCTGCTTCCCGCAAACCAATACAGGCGCCCCCGTCCCCCCAAACATCCCCAAACAGGGACGTGAGGGGATTAGCCTCTGAAACTGCCACTGTGAGTTACGGCTCACGGCTCCTGTCCTACAATGAAACACCAACATCTCCGCCAACGCAGCTTTCTTGTGAAAATTCCCTGCCATGTCAGCACCCAGCTGAAGGACTTGGGAATCCAGCAGCAGGCACTCAAATCTACTCTGCATGCAGTTGCAGGAGCGAAAAGCTGCCCTGTGCTTGCCACACAGTCTTCTTCCCAATGGTATTATTCTATTCACTATTCATTTTAATATTAACATAACGGGCCAATGAGAGAAAGAGGGGCCCGTAGTAAATTCACTATAAGATGTACTGAGACTGCTCACTCACTCACTCACTGATTGTTCACTCCCTTTGTAATGCTATGTCATGTGTTCAGTCATTGGACGGCCACACCTGCGCCGGATACCAAGAATAGCGGAACATTTGGATCACGGGCGTTCCCCATGATGCAAGTTTCAGTGTCACATAAGAAGTAAGATGACATTAAGAGTAATGGTATTTCAAGATCAGAGGAGCTCCCGCTTATGCTACACCTCCTGTATGCCATTTCAAAGCAGGGTCTTCTTTCCCAAGTGGTTACCCCGCGGTACCCCTGTCAGACAAAAGGGCGAACATGGGGTTTAGGGCTTCGGGGCTGAAGGGTCTCGTGCGCGGTCTCCCTTTTCATTCAGAAGCTCGAAGAAGCTCGAGAACTCCAGCATTCTGGCCAGCCACTTCCAACGGCGTTTCATCATCCTCGTTGGTCGCACGGACATCGGCTCTTGCTGCCAGAAGCTCTTCCACTACCTCTTGCGCATCAACCTCGGCAGCTTTATGGAGGGGAGTTTCCCCCTCATTATCCGTGGCATGAACATCAGCTCTAGCCTTCAGCAGAGCTTTCACCGTAGCCGAATTGCCCTCCTCCGCTGCTGCATGAAGGGCAGATTCCCCCCAATCGTCCCTTGCTTGGAGATCTGCCTTATAGGCCAAAAGAACTTCAACATGGGTTTTAGAGCCAACCCTAGCTGCGAAGAAGAGAGGGGTCATTCCGTCAGCGTCCGTTGCATGGATGTCCGCCTTGGCCTTCAACAGAACTTCCGCCGTGTCCAGCGCAGAGCCGGCAGCAGGGAAAAGAGGTGTCCTATCAACCCGGTCCTTCCCGTTAACATCTACGAAAGGTGTCTCTGCTAGCAGCTTCACCACGGTTGTTGGTCCAAACTGTGCCGCCAAGTGGAGGGGGGTTCTGCCGTCCATGTTCGGATCATGAGTTCGGGCCATCAAAGCTCTCTCCAGCGGAGCTTCACGCTGTTCCCGCGAGAAGTAACTCTTCCACCAGGTCGACGAAGAGTCAAGCTTACTCATCCCCTGGCGCACCTCCTGCGCAATAGAACCATTGATCTTGCTCAGCATCGCAGTGGCTGTCGTCAAGTTGGAGCCCTTCACGGCTTCCATGATGGCGGCAATGCTCTGGTGCTCCGTCACCTGCAGTACAATCCCATCTGGCTAGATCGTTGAAAGTATGCCCTAAACTGGCTGGTTCTTAGTGGGGAATGGGGGAATGAGGTACCAAGTATCCCCCTATTATATACCCTTTAAGGGATTCTATAGGGCACCTCATTCCCCCATTCCCTACTAAGAACCAGGGGGTTAAACCCTAACCCAAGACATGAATTTCTCATGAGACCTAGGTTTGAAAGCGGAGGTGCCTCCAAGGCTGTCTCGAAGGTGTGTCTGTCCATCGTGTTAGGCTCTGGGACCACCTGAGCCTGCACAGGGTGTGGACTGGGGTGCGGACTAGGGCTTCGGCTGCTTTCAACATGAATTCCTCCATAATCCTGCGCCTTGACAACACGAGCCACGTAGTTGGCAAGTCTCGGGCCAAGCTGACACTTGTGCGAGGGGCAATCGAGGCAGGCCCAACGAAGGCGCGAGCGCTTGGTAAAGTCTGCGAGGGTCCCATGTTCGCTCCATTTCTGCATTGCCCACACAGAGAGGCCCTCAAACAGTTGCTGCCGCAGCGCCGGTCCAGTTTGCGAACAAGTGCCCATCAAATCGATAAGGAAAAACTGGGGAGACCAAAAGGAGTCCAAACCCCAGGCAGCCATCCCGATGGTTGGAACTTCATGCTGGAAAAGGATGGCAGCTTTCAAGGGGCGCGGGCCATCCAGCTGCTTGTTGACTAAAGCCACGACAGTGCCTTACAGCAGTGCACATGCTTTGGTCAGACCCTGGCAAATTTCATCGAGGCTCTACATTGCTGTTGTTTCCAGGGCACGTGATTTGATCCGGTGATGAACACCTACTGCATCCGACAAGTGGAAGTTGGCAGCGTGCGGACCATCTACCCGTAATTTGAAAGAGGACTGCAAAAATAAGCACGCAGCTTCCTTGGTTTCTCAATGGTTGCCTGCTTCCACCTCGTTAACTATTTGCGGGATTTTGCTTTGGAATGGGGTCTGCTGGCGCGAAAAAAGTGAAGCTAAAAGGGTGAAGCCCCACTCCCCCCGCATGAACTGGAACTGCTCAAGAATAGAGCCCAGGCTCTTTGCTCCTTCTGCTGCATTCCAATCACAAAGAACATGCTGACCAATGACCACATGTTCTGCGCCAGCTCGTTCTCACTCTCATCCCTATAGCACCTGTTCAGGTCACCGTGCTCCTCGATTGTCCTTCCAAGAAGCGTAGCTGGATGAACAGTTTGATGGTCTGTGAGCCTTGCAAACTCAAAAAGCTTCTGCTTGGAGGTTCGGCTGTCAGCGCCTTTGGGGTCATCCGGGTCGGTCCAAAACCCAGCCCACAAAATGGCTGCACTCTGTGCCGTGGCCATATGCACCAGCCACTTCTGCAAAAACCAGAGGCTTTGCACCAAAGGCAAAGTCTCTGCTGGGACCATGAGATCGTGTATTGCCTCTGCTGGAACCTGCAGAGCTTGTACCAAGTCCCTGCCATAAAGAAAGATATCTGCCGCGCTCTCTCGGCAAGTCTTGTTTGGCAAGGAGGAAAGGCGGAAAGGATTCTCCTCGTGTTCGAAACTCGTTCCTTGGTGGCGGATCCAAACATTCTGCGGCTCCGCCTGCTCGCATTCCCAGGTGAGCTGCGCTAACAGCCCCCCCAACTGGCAACCTGACGGTGGTAGGCGGTTACTTTGGTTCAGGTTTCGAAGAATCTCGATCACCTCTCTCAGTTCTTGCTTCCTCTTGAACTTTGGAAAGGATGGGTCAATGTCCTGATCCACGACGGGCGTCAAGTTCTTCAAAAGCTCTGCCTGGACTTCCTCATATCTCAGATTTTCAGTCAAGGTCCATGGCTCTTCCAGCGCTCTCTGGTGATCCGTTGTCTTTGAATCCGACCGAGCTCGCTCCTCCTGAAACTTTGCGGGTGTCAAGGCGGCCTCGCCAATGTCGATCCCCTCCCGGCCCTCCCGCACTGCACATGCCAGAACTGCGCAGAGAGAAAGCGCGAACGTGCGCCGCCTACGCATGGTATGGAACTTCACAAACCTGACCGCACTTTGCGTTGACTTGCATCTTGATCCACGAATGACCAGCCCTGATGTCGCAAAGACAAGCCAAAGAACACCATGCACAACGACCCACAGTATTGAACATGCGTGCACGAAGTGAACAAGGATACAAAGTGAGAACGAAGAACGTCCTAAAAGCCCCCGTGAATGTTAATTGGGGATTTTTCTATAATAAGGGCGTTCACTCTGTTCACTCGTTCTCACACATCTTGTCTTGCCAAGTCTAGTCTTGCCAAGTCTAGGGTCTTTTCCCCGTCATGAATATACGGGCTTTACATGCGCGAGCTTATTTAATGTACGCCCGTAAATATACTAATAGGGGCAAAGAGGAAGTTCCAGCCCAACAGATGCACCCAGAACATAGGTAAAAGGCTCATGAATCTAACTTCTGATCACCAGGCTGTTACCAAAGGTGCCATCCAAGCTGCGGACACGCAGCTGTCCTCAGCTGCTGTGGCCCTATCTAAATCTTAGGTCTTAATGACAAAGGGGGTACCCAACATCTAGGGCTCCGTAGTGCGGCATCTCTGCAACCGTGGGTTCTGCATATCCAAGATGCTGTGGACACAGCTGAGATCGTCCGTGTTCGCACCAGTGGCTGCAGCTTGGCAGAGTCTTCTGGGTCCTGGTTTGCCCCTACCGCCTGAAGGGTTCTGGAGTGTCTTTCTAGCAATGTCGTGTAGCCACTCAGAAATTTTTACAACCATACGCGCCCTACTTATCCTCAAACATCCTCTCTGAATCTTGTCTTCTTGTCCTGCTGCTCGTAGATCTCGTAGAACGTGTTAGTAGCTTCCAGCGCTTTTGGGTCCCAAGTGCCGAGCGGACACAGCTACATCTGCGCATGTTTATGCTCAGGGTCCAAAAACAGCGTAGGGCTTGGGATTTTGTTGATTTATAGCGCTTACTTGGAAGTTCATGGTACTTATTAACCATTTAACCAAGTATATCTGTACATATAACCCACTTATAAGCCCCTTAAGTGCCCAAGATGGTTAGAAGTACAGTTGTAAGTACAGTTATGATTTGGTTGATAAGTACCATGAACCTCCAAGTAGGTGCCCCGTACACTCTCGAGGTCTTGAGCCATCTTAAGCATCGGAGTCCCGTCCTCAACGCTCGGCAGCGGGGCGCTCCGGGTCTTGCCCAACTCCACCAGACTGCAAGCAGCAAATGCAGCTATGTTGCAATGTTGTAGGGAGATCTTCGGGCTATGTTGCAGGGAGATCTTCAGGCTATGATGCAGGGAGGTCTTCGGGGATGTGCTCTCTGAATTTTCCGGTGCCACCCGTACTGCGAGGTGATGCGAAGTGCCGTCGGGCGATACGCGTCTTTATCATGGAGCCTGCTGATGTGGACTGCAGACTATAAGACATGCCGACTGGTTTGGACTCTGTGGGAGCCCGTGGCTTTATGCCATGTTCGTCACTGGTCATTCTTGAGACGTATCAAGCGTGCTCACCCCGTCCGCCTCGGCTGACATGCGACAGCCTGCATGGGAAGTTGCACATGCGCTCTGGCGTCTTTCAGCAGCGTCAGCGAGGCAGGCACTGGCACCGCCATTTGCAAAGGGAAGCTGTGAGAGCTTTATGTGTGAATCGAACCTACTCTGGCCCGCACAGCGTCAAGTAGCTGTCATGTGCAGTCAGCAATTTTGCCATCGCTTTCTGTAGAAGTGGTCATAGCATATCATAGCATCACTGCGTTCTCAGAGCATCCAGCATGCTGTTTCAGGTGTTCCGAACTGGAGCCCATGACAATGGCTGCAAAGCATCATCTCATGAGCTCATGCGGGAATGGGTCATCTCATGAGCTCATGCGGGAATGGGTCAACGTTGCAGGGCTTGCAACGCAAGCCTGGAGCAGCACGAAACTCCCAGAGTGCATGTACTGTCATGTCGACGAATTCAACAAGCCTTTTCATGAAAACGACGAAACGGCGGCACCCTCGCTTGTGGTCAGGGACGGGCCACTCGTGCTAGAGAAGGCTCCGAGATTCCCTTAGCTCCAGCCAACGGCTGTGTGGAACCAGCTGTCCCAGGCGCCTTCTCCTGCCGGGCACCAGAGTCACTGCGGGTAAGGGTCTAGGGTTCCGGGATGTTCTGGGTTCTGGCCCTGGCCCTGCAGATTTCTGGAAGTCAGGGTCTTTGTGACCCGGTCAAGCTTTACACAGGCCCAGTCCTTGCAAGTTTGCTGCGAACGCCACGCGGGTCTCCGACTCCCAGTGGGAGGGGACATTGTGGACCAGCCAGGAAGGGAAGCACACCAGGTCACCCTCCGTCGGAAAGAAGTATTCCTCATCCAGTTGGCTTGGGCGTTCGTGCAGGAGCGGCAGGACCGCAAGCAAACTATGGCTACAGAAACTGTTCATGGATGTTCTTTGTCTTCGTACGAGTTTCGGCTGTGCTCTGCACACCAACAAATCCGAAAGCCCCTCTGAAACCGCCGAAGGCACGTTGTGATGAAACGGCGCTTGAGGCTCGAAGTCACGCTCCTGTATCAAGATGCCCCATGACGCCCTAGATGCTCACGAGAATCCCAGAAGTTCGTGCCAGCTGCGCATTACCAAGAAAAGAAGCTCGTGAGCTTCAGAGTGCGCAGTCTGGCTTGCTATGCAACTTCTGAACTCAAGCAAGTTCACCAAAGCAGTGTTCAGACACGAGTAAAATCGGCCCACGTCAAAGGCAGTGGAATGGCATGGGTGGAGCATCCACTGTCCACACCCCCTGCAAAGCTGTCAGAAGGCGCGCCTTTTCGTACTGCTCGTAGTCCTTGGAATCCACGATCATGCTACATGGAGTGAGAATTACTACACTTTGGCATCGTTGCAGGTCAATGCTCTTTATAGAGATCAGTTTAACCTGTACGACATGATTCTTTATGAACACGTATGAGTCTTAGCATTCAAAGGGAAAGCTGAAAGCTGTGTTTCTTCCACGCTCGCTGGACAAGTTGCTATCGACTCTCCAGTCCGAGCTTCGTTGACCGGCGGCGCACCCCGTGGATCAATAAAGCTGATCGGAGTGGAAGCACCTGGGCATACCAAGCATGACGACTACTCTCGAGAACATTGAAAGGTGCTTCCCAGAGTCCTAGAGGTTGAACATGCCCATCAAAGTCTCAATTTCAATCCCTTCTCCACGGCGCTCTCTGAAATCCTGCCCCTCCGTATGGGCTCTGAACCCTAAACCCCAAACCCCTCATGAAGCCCAAACCCCATGGACGACTTCGAGGCCCGAGCCGGCAACGCGGGCGTAGAGGACGCAAGAGGACGCAGATCCCTGGTGCACGTGGTACCTGCCAGGGTTTCGGCTTGAACCAGAGCCCTCAAGAAGCCCACATCAAAAACCCCCTACGAGTATAGATAACCCCTTAGCCCTAGACCCTAATCCCTAGACCCTTAACCCAAAACCTTGAAACCCATATAAAACTCCCCCCTACTGTCTTTTCTCGCCCCACGGGGCGCCCGTGGCGGCCGCCGTTTCCAGGGTACACGGCGGCCCAGAGCCTCGGGGGGAGAAAGATTCGGGGGGACGAAGGGGTATATGGAGTATGTGGGGTATATTGGGTATATGGGGTGTATGGGGTATATGGGGTTTAGGGTTTAGGGTTCAGGGTTTAGGCAAACAGTTTAGGGTTTAGGGTTTCGCCGTTTAGGGTGATCTTCGCACATATGCAGCTTCGAGGCACGAGACCATAACTCTGGTCCTGAGCTGGGCTAGGTGTCAAGTTCAGCAACAGTTATGAGCAGAAAAAATCTTGTCATACGACTCCTATGCTCATGGCAGCTCCCTGCCTGAGGGCTCGAAGTTCACGTTGGTTTAATATATTTTTTTTTCGGCTCCCACATTCTTTTCAATAGTCAATGTCATGCCATCATTACAAAAAACGAGACCAAAGCCAGGCAGAGAACGCTCTGGGGTACAGGGGCGCCCGTCTTGTTCAGGAAGCCCAGCAGCGCGCCCTTCATGACCTGCATGCTGCGAAGAGGGCGAAGCTGGTGAGCCATGGGAGCATTGGCAATCGGAGGGGGCTTGAATGCTGAGAGGGATGGGACATCGGGCACTCCATTTGAGGAAAGAGCCTACAGAGCCCTGGCTTCTGCAGGACATTGGGAGCACATCGCAAGCTCTCAGAACCTGGGCGCCCCGCTCGAGTCAGGATTTTGAAGTCCTCCGAGTCCCTGTACATCTCCTCGGGGTGCTGCCGGGGTGCTCTTGAGCACAGGATTTCAGGCTCGATCTTGAACACTAAACAAAGATCCCAAGCCACACACACACACACACACACACACACAGAGGACACCCAAGAGGCATAAGCAAAACTCCCAACCCTTCCAAACCCCTCAACGTAGCGTTACACACAGGTAAGAACGGATAAGGCCTCCAAACCCCCACACCCTGAAAGGTGTATAACCCAAGCCTGAACCCTAAACCCTAAACCCTGAACCCTAAACCCTAAACCCTAAACCCTACATTCTATGTGACCTAAACGCGCGGAGGCGGCCGGCCACTTCTTCTGCTGGGACTTCGAGAGCTGGTCGGCGCGCGTGGACTGAAAGCCGAAGAACCTGCGACACGGTCCATGCACGCGCATATATGTGTAGATCTACACATACACAGACCATGTATACCTACATGATATACATGCGTATCGTTTGCTGTAGTATGTAAATGTACGTGTGCGTGTGTGTACATGCTTACATAGATGTAGCGCCCCCTTCCCAACCTCATTGGGGGGGGATGCGAAATATCAGCCCTTTTGCTCAAGAGCTACCACGGTAGAGACCCCGAAAGTGCTCACGATTGAGATCAATCCACCAAGTAGGGTGCAGGCCCCCCCGCCAAACAGGCGTTGGGTGCTTCTAGAATTAGGCTTTCGGAGTTACAAGTTGAGGGCTTTGGGGGTTTGAGCATCCACCGGAAAGAAAAAGAAGACTCTAGCGTTTCGGGTTTGGGGTGGTTTTGAGGTGACCTTCCCCAGAACTCCCAAAAAGCTTACTCTCCGCACATAGTCTCTTGCGCCGAGCCGTACTGCCACACAGGATCCAAACAGTGTCGGTGCTACGGGGTGGGGAGACTCGGGAGAATGAGCTCTTGTCCCTTTGTAACCCACATGCCGACAAGGAACTTGTCGTTGAGATCGTTGGGATCTATGCCGGGGTACTGCTTGCCAAACCTGAGAGGTTCTTGAGCATCGAGTCCCATCCCGAAGGCTGCAAGGGATCCCCCGAACTTCCCAGACAGTCCTGCGCCCCACGCCTACGGGAAACCCAGAAACTCCAACATCGTCCCTGGGCCAGGCCGCTGCTCGTACTTCCGCACAGCAAGGTCCGCCAAGCGCGTGGTGAAGCCCTCCGGAAGCCACGAACGAACATTCCTGGCCAGGCACACGAATGATAAGCGACCGGCCAGCCGTGCTTAAGGTACAAGCCGAGGCTCACAGAGAGGATCTTGGTGGGAAAAGCATTCCTCACCTTGCCAGCCGGGACACCCCCCAACAACACTGCGTGAGGTTCGCAGCTCAATTGATTTCACACAGGCGCATTCACCCCCTGCAACAACACTGCTGAGGCAGCTCCATGTGCCTGAAAGTTGTCCACGATCTTTGCAACGTCTTTGGGATGGACACCTTAAGACTACGCAGCTCAGGTGAGGCAGCCACGCTGACGCTTGAACAGCCAGGTTGAAACCAGGAGCCGGTGCAGACCCATGATGAAACACATCGAGCCCGGACCTAACATGCTTGAGACAAGACAGAACCTGCTTCAGCTCCATTTGAAGCGAGGGGCCCGCGAGCCGCTCCTGATCCCGTGCTGGATAGCAGATGCCATCCTTCAGTGTGGAGACGAAGTCTGGGTGCCGAACCTCGGATGACGAAACATCACACTTATGCACCACTAAAGAACTCGCAGCCCGGAACATCCAGACCTTGGGTCCAGGGGGTTGGACTGAGCGTGCAGTGGACTGAGCTGTGGTTGCGGGTTTTTGGGGTTTGGAGGTTTTTGTGTGGCTGTTGAATGTCGCGGTCGCGTGACCAAGTTCATTAGTGCAGCATAGAGCACACAGCTGCTCAACACCACCGCTACAGGCGAATATGGGCTCCTATCAATGTGACATCAAGACAAGAGGTACACATCATTGGAAGGAAGCTCAGCTGAGTGCGCACGCCGGCATTTCAAGCTTTAGTTCTCTGTAGCTGTAGTGCAGGAAAGCTCAGACTTGCTCAGCCGCTGACGGGCACGGATCCCGACTTGCTCCACCCCTGCAGCTGCTCGCGTACCAGCTTCCTGATGCAGCTTGTCGAGACTGCATGACCAGATGCTGTGCGCACAGACTACAGCCAAAGGCACAGCACTCGTTTTGCGGAACGCTGGCCAACACGAGCAAACAAGAACACCTCCTGCAGCATTCCACCGCCTCCAGAAGCCCAATGCCCGTTAGAGTCTCTTCGGTTGCTCTCGAGTCCCCTCTGTACCCCACTACAACCCGGGACGCTGCAATGCAATCCAGAGATCCGCACGTACTGCTCCTCCTTGGTGATCTTCTGGGACTTTTCCGGCTGCCTCATCAGTCAGCGCCTACAAAAGAGCAACCTGGTGTGTTCTATGAACAAGCAGCCACTAGACTGCTCGTACTACCAGGGAGCCAAAAGTGCCCGAATATGGCTATCGTACAGTCATAAATTGCAGCTATAATTGGTTCATAAGTACCATGAACCTCCAAGCAGTGCCAGTGCCAATGCCAGCCAGGCGGCTCCTTTTGGTTCAGCCAGGCCAAAGCCTCTTTCAGCTTCGGCGGGTCCAGGGTGCAGGCGTGTGCAAACATATCGATGGCATGCTGCACCTGGCCTGCCGCTGCACAAAGCCAGGCATGAAAAAACAGAAGCTGGAGCATGGAATGAAACTTTAAACCCCTAAGCCCTAAACCCGAAACCCTAAACCTCCCTCCTTCTACCCCGCCGGGCCCTAGTCGCCTTCGGGCTCGGTCAGTGATGCGAGGGCGACTGCGACCTTGGCCGCATCGAACCTCGGCACTCCAAAACCGAAAGACAGAGGGTTGCCTAGCATCGGAGCCGTAAACCATTAAACTTAAACACTGCATCCCAAACCCTCAACGCTGAAGCCTGAACCCCCCAAAGCCTCAACTACATCTTGAGGGGCCAGATCTCCGCCGAGCCAGGCGCCAGGTCCAGGGCCCCAAGGAGCTGGCGATGGGAGGCTTGGGCATCTTGAAACCGTGTGGTTGGGGGGGGGGGGGGGGGGGGGGGGCAGGCTGAGAGTGGGTTTATTGTGGGCCTGGAGCACAGCCCCATGACCTTCAGACAAACTGCAGACTTCCTGGCCTGCTGCTGGCCCTCATGCTGCTTGATAAAGGGATCCGAGTTGGACTTGTCGATGCCCTGGACTTGCTTCAAGCCCTGGCAGGAGGGGCAGAAGTCATGAGAGGTCAGCAAGCGGGGAGGCTTTTTCAGATTTTTTTAGGCTGCTCCCAAGGCCTTCTGGAAACTCCGGCGTGCGGCCTTGATGTAAAACCTCAGCTGCGCGGCCGCTTTGAGGCATCAGGGCTTGGGTATGCAATGAGAAGGATGAGAATCCACCGCCAGGGCACGGAGCTCGCAGCGCGTGCTGCTTCTCCAGGTACTCTGCTGCTTCAGGCAGGTCAGCGGTCCGCATGCGTGCGTTGCAGACCTCGGCTCCCATCACAGCACATCCAACAGAGGTCCCGTCCGAATCTTGTAATTATCAGCACAGCCTCCGAAGCAATGCAAAGCCAGTGAGACAAGTGAGACAAGCGCATGGAGTCCCACCGCTCCGCTTTGTGGTACTCGTACCGCAACTTGCCGTTACATGGAGCGTCCGAGCCGCCGCCGGCCCAGCTAACCACGGAGCCGTGGAAGTTCCGTCGTCCTGCGGGAGCATCCCTTTATAAAGATCCTAGATATACCCCTTACGAGTAGGGTCCCTTCATAAAATGCACTATAAGAGCCCCCAAAAAACCCTGTTCTAACTATTAAGGCCACTCTGGCGTGGAAGTTCCGCATCGCATATTTTACCATATGACAGCATGTCATCTTCTTATTCTGGCGATTGTTCTGATTCTTATTCTGATTGTCTTCCTATATATGTATATAGAGAGAGACATGGAAATATGTATATAAAGACATACCATGCAGAAACATACATACAGGCTTGTTAATCTCACCATCTTCTAGCAAGAAACTCGAGAAACCACCCCCCTTGCTGGGCTCTATATGTACGGTATACAGCACCGTACCTCACTCTTCAATTCCTTCCGTGAAGCTACATTAAACCCATCTCCTCGGCTGCTTCAAGAGCTGCTTCTGCGGCCCGAAGCTCCTCCGTTTGGTGGCCATTTCGGGTTTAGACACGGTTTGGGGTTTAGGGTTGAGGGTTGAGGGTTGAGGGTTGAGGGTTTGAGGGTTGAGGGTTTAGGGTTTAGGGTGCGAGCTTCCGATGACCACCGACACCTCCGGGGGGAACAAGCAAGCACGAAAAGAAGAACACTTCGTCCTCTCGCAGGGCTGCGACACGGGCTTCTAAGGCGGCACGGCTCGGTGCCTGGCTCTGGGCAGCTTCACTCACTGACTCACAGTTTGTCTCAGCTCTCACACTCCCGAATCGTGGTGGCGCAGAGTCGGTCATGGCTGTGTTAACGGTCTCAGACGGTTACCAGAAAGTTGCACGGCCTCCGCCTCCGCAGCTTGTAGGGCACAGGCCTTTGTCACGCAGATAAGCCATGATTTGCCAGTATGAGCCTTTTTCTTGGGAAACGAGTTCAGCATGAGCTAACCAAACTTTGAGGCGATGAGCTCCTTTCTGCTTGCAAAACGAAAAGCATTGAACACACGCTGCACAACCTGAGATGGTCACCAGCCAAGTCAGCGCCATCCCGGGACGCCTCCATGGCCGGCATGTGCTAAGCCATTCCATGGCTCTTAGGACGGAAGCACGCCCACGTTGATTTCGCCTTCTTACCTCTCTCTCTCTCTCTCTCTCTCTCTCTCTTTAGATATGCAACTTCCGTGAATCGGGAGCTCTTTGACTGAACCCTCAGCGCGCCAACTCCTGTCTTGGCCTTAATCTCACTGTATCATGCCCATCAATTGGCATTACGAATTTCGGAGTATTGGCAGGGACAACTTCCTGTGAGCCCAGCATGAGCTTGCCAAGCAGTGCTGCTGCTCACACCAAGTGAAAAGGGCGACATCAAGGAACAAGTCCGCAATCAACTTGTGCATCGGGCGCAGGCCCACTCTCTGAAACACCCCCACATGGAACAAGACATCAAACACGACCCTCTGCAGTGCCACCCTAGAGCCCCATCCCCCCCATCCCTCCCAACAATAAAATGAAAGCACTCCTCGGAAGTGGCGAGGGACCTCTCCAGAAAAGAGCTTCTCAGGGAGAGGAGGGTGGGGAAGCGAGGGTGGGGAGGGGGGGGGTGTTGGGCTGACCCTCAGCTTGAAAGGATTCTAGGGATTCATTGTGTGGGCTTTGGTGGTTCAGGGGTCGGGGGGAGGGGGGGCATCCTTGAAAGGTATGCTCATTCGTTGTTCTGTAGTTTGCTTCTTCTCCTGTCAGGCACGCCAGAGCCCCGCAAACAATGCCCGCCAAGACAAACTCTCTCTCACACCAAAGCGCGGCACCCTTGCGTTGTCAGCGTCGCGCCGCTTGCCGTCGGAGACCTGCCAGCACTGCTCGTCAGCGCATGTGGGCCCTGAAGGATTCCAAAAAAAACGCTTCAGGCCCCGCATGTGCCCTCAAGGCTTCCAAAAAAAACCCTTCAGGCCCCGCATGTGGGCCCTGAAGGGTTCCAAAAAAACCTTCAGGCCCCGCATGTGGGCCCTGAAGGATTCCAAAAAACCCTTCAGGCCCCGCATGTGGACGCTGAAGGGTTCCAAAAAACCCTTCAGGCCCCGCATGTGGGCCCTGAAGGATTCCAAAAAACCCTTCAGGCCCCGCATGTGGGCCCTGAAGGATTCCAAAATTCCCTTCAGGCCCCGCATGTCTGAAGGATTCCAAAAAACCCTTCAGGCCCCGCATGTGGGCCCTGAAGGATTCCAAAAAACCCTTCAGGCCCCACATGTGGGCCCTGAAGGATTCCAAAATTCCCTTCAGGCCCCGCATGTCTGAAGGATTCCAAAAAACCCTTCAGGCCCCGCATGTGGGCCCTGAAGGATTCCAAAATTCCCTTCAGGCCCGAGGGCCAGCTACAAGTGGGCTGACTCTCCGAATAACTTTACAGCAGGTTCCCTAACGACGCTCTACGACGTGCTACAAAGGACCCCAGCACGGACGCCGACATCCGCATTCCACATTGCACATTGCCGAAATTCGCTGATGGAAAAGATTCCGCAACCTTGCCTCAGCGTTGGCGGGTGATCCAAGTGCACCTGCCATTCGGGATCCGAAGGCCCAAGCATCCCCAAAGCCCGACTTGGGACCCAATTTACTTGCAGCTTGGTAGTAACTTCCCTTAACTAGTAGGTAGAACCCATAAAACTGAAAGAGGGCCACAGGCAAAGCCGTCCCCAAACAAGCGAAGGATTCGAAGGTGCGAAGGTGCCCCACTTTTGTACTGCGAGAAAGATCGGATCACTTCTGGGGTGAGAAGAAACTTGCCCTTGCAGGCAGCCACCCCGTATCGGCTTCCCATGGAGCGCAGCACTCCCTTCCAGGCTCTCCAATCTGGCACTTTGCTCTTTTTGCCTCTGAGGCCTTGCTGAAGCCTGTAAAACATACCTTTGCGCAACACTTGGGTGCTCTTCGGCGGCGCGTGCATGTCGGAATTTCTGAGAGATGGAGCTAGGCAGGACGGAGAAGACATGCCCCACTGGATTCTAGCCATTCCAGTCGGCTGCCTTTGTTGAATGGCATGAAGTTCCGTGAAGCAAGCTCTCCTGCCGCTCCTGCCGAGTTCTAAACACAGCAGATAGCCGAGAGCCTTCAGACGCCGACAAAGCCGCAAAATCTCGCTGGATCGTTTTGGGGTGTTTTGGCCGTTGCCAATGTCCTGAAAGGTCGTGGCCATCAAGCCTTTGACAAGCGACATCTCTCATCAGGGCCGGCGCTCAGTGTTTCATGACCCCCCTTAAGCACCCGTAAGCCTGCGAACACACCATGCGCCGGCCCTTTGAGCCGTGCAAAAATATTCAAAGCATTGCCTAGCTAAGACTGGCTTTGACTGGATGACTGGCTTTGCCACCGTCGTGTGCAGTTCCAAAGGCACTGCTTTGGCAGAGCGCTTGGTGAGCTTTGACACATGTGGAGGCATGGGATTGGCGCGGCTTCGATTGTGGGGCTCTTTTGCTGGGCAACTCAGGAGTACGCAAACCTATGCGTTGCGACAAGGACTGAAAGCCTCAGGTAAGCAGTCAGGTCTTACTTGATCTGGACGCCGCAGCAACCAACCCCACGAACCCAAAGTCACATGAAAGGCCTTACCGCCTCACACTGCGTTGTGGTTGCCCGCCGCTTCGTCGTGCAGCCAGCGCATGCGACGTCCATCCTCCCACACTCCTGCCGCAGCACCAAGCTGCTTCAAGCGTCTCGCTTGCTGGAGCGCTACCAAAAATCGCGCGAAGGCTTCAAGGTCCCTCCCCCACACCCCTGGGCAGTGGCGGTCCATGCTTCTTCTCTTGCGCCAGAGTCACCTTGGGCCAATGGGCTCAGGGTTTAGGGCGCCGGGTGTAAAGTTAAGGCCTGACGAGACGGCAGAGGTCAACCTAAACCTACACCTCAGAAATAACCCCGAAACCCTAAACCCTAAAGCCCTACAGCCTTACCCCGTACCGCTACATTTTACCCCAAGGCCCCCTGGTCTACGGTCCACCGGGGGCCTGGCCGGACCACGGGGGGGACCCAACCAAGGAACCGCCGATGGCACGGCCCAGAACAAATCAAGTTTAGCAACATTACGCACCCCCACCACGACTTGATCAGCCAAATGCGTCCCCAGATGTACAATCTGCTTCATCCCACACAGTGCGGACTCCTGCTGCTCAGACCATCTCCTGCAATCTGAAACAAAGAAAATGCCAGCATTCGGGCCCTGGCATAGTAGCCAGTGCCATGCTGCTTGCCATCTCTCCTGGCATGAGCCCCCTCAAACACAGCTTGAAAATCACCGTCAAGCAGCTTTTCCAGCTCACCGGAAAAAGGGCACCTGAGACTGAACGCCGATCTTTGAGAGAGTTTGTGGCAAAAGGCTCAGGTTTGCTTTCGGTTCGCACTTGGCAAGCGAGCCAGACATTGCCACTGGCCATCGTACTTCCGACCATCTGGCCACAAAAACCTGGCACTGAGGCTTGCAGTTATTCTCACAGACCGCTGCTAAGGGGTTTCATATCTAGGCTCGCTACTACTGGTACTTACTACTGCTTCTCCACAACAACAAGGCAAAGAGAAGGACTCGAAGCAAGATCAAACTTCCGGGCGTCCCGCAGGCCGTGGCCATCCTTGGCATCCTCAGTCTGCAAACGCCCCCACTAAATCTGTTGACTTTAAAATACTAACAGTAATAAGGATGATAATAATAATAATAATAATAATAATAATAATAATAATAATAATAATAACAATAACACTAATTGCAAGTAGCCCATTCAAAGACCCAACAGCACAGCTCGACCACGCAGCCACGACCACGACACGCGACGGCACTTCCAAAAACCAAGCAACCATGTCGCGTACACTTCCAAGAGCCATGCAGCCACCATGATAGGTCAACTTCCAAGAGCCGGCCCACCGCAACGGTAGGTACGATCCAGTAGGTCATAACGGAAGGTACAGATCCAAGAACCAAGCGAATACGACACAGGCGCACGCCCAAAAACCAATTGACCACGCAGTGTACTCCCAAAAAAGGGACCAGACGCTACATGCACCCCCAAAAAACCATGCGGCCATGAAGAGGTAAAGTACGTGCGGCCACGAGGAGTAAAGCTTCCAAGCACCAGTCCACCACGGGTAGGTGCTCTTGGGGTGGCCCCGGCGAGCATCATGAGCATCAGCGGCGTCGCTATTTCGGGACAAGGGGCTCCAAATCCGGCAATTCGGCAGGAGCAGCGTTTGTGCATGATTTTCATGCCCCTTGGGAGGGGTGCCGATGGCCCCAAGGAGGAGAAGTGGGGGCCCAACGATGCTCATGATGCTGGGGGGGGGGGGCGCAGGGGGGGCGTATAAGGGCGAGGAACGGAGGCAATGATGCTCGTAATCCTGTGTCGGAGGAGGCTTGTGAGAATTTTTTCGGGCTAGTGCAGCTTTCTCGCGCGCGCGCGCGCGCGCCGTTGAGATGGCCTTGCCGGTGCGCGTGCCCACGCTGCGGGGCGTTGCCCGCCCCTGGGCACAGCCCCTTAAAATAAAATACATAACATTTCTAACTCTAACATTAATGTCGCAGTGCTCAGGGGCAAAAGTAACTTGCAAGCTGTTGTGTTTGTTGTTTACAGTTGCTCTTGTCTGGCGTTGTGCGACTCATGAGGAGCGTGTTGGCATGGAAGATGTGTACGTGGCATGGGATCCCGACTTAAAGGGCCAGTAAGTGCCCAAAGGGTGATACCACTTGTAAAGCGTGCATCTTGGATCCTTGTCGTTCCGGTCCTGGCTTGCTGCGTGGTTGTTTGTTGCGTGGGGGTTGAGGGCCGATGATGACATTATGACTGAGGCCCTCACTATCTATATTTATGCCTCCGTGTGACATGCGCATGTACGGTGTTTGAATGTTGTATTTTTGAACTCGTTCCGTTAGCCCGTGGCGTGTTCGCATGGTCCCGGCCTCTGCGTCGACGGTCCTAAAGGAAAAGTCGAAGTGGGGGGTGTCAAATGACCGCGAACCATACATGCAGCATGCGTAGGATGAAAGGATTCCCTTGCCATATCCAGCCTATTAAGGTGTGACGGCACCAGAGAACAATCCGTTCGCAGCTTGGGTGCTGTGTCGACGGGTTTGGGACATCGAGGCTTGACACTTTGGGGCTGAAATGTTTCGGAAAGTTGGGTGTTGTGCCTCCATGGTGCTGCATTGCTTCGCGGGTTTGGGTGTTGCGTCGGCGGTTTTTAGCCATCGAGGCTTGACCCCTTTGGTGCTGCATTGCTTCGCGGGTTTGGGTGTTGCGTCGGCGGTTTTTAGACATCGAGGCTTGACCTCTTTGGTGCTGCATTGCTTTGCGGTTTTGGGTGTTGCGTCGGCAGTTTTTCGACATCGAGGCTTGACCTCTTTGGGGCTGCATTGCTTTGCGGGTTTGGGTGTTGCGTCGGCGGTTTTTAAACATCGAGGCTTGACCCCTTTGGTGCTGCATTGCTTCGCGGGTTCATCGGCGGTTTTTAGACATCGAGGCTTGACCCCTTTGGTGCTGCATTGCTTCGCGGGTTTGGGTGTTGCGTCGGCGGTTTTTAGACATCGAGGCTTGACCCCTTTGGTGCTGCATTGCTTCGCGGGTTTGGGTGTGGCGTCGGCGGGTTTTAGACATCGAGGCTTGACCCCTTTGGTGCTGCATTGCTTCGCGGGTTTGGATGTTGCGTCGGCGGTTTTTAGACATCGAGGCTTGACCTCCTTGGCGCTGCATTGCTTCGCGGGTTTGGGTGTTGTGTCGAAAAGTTTGGGACATCGAGGCTTGACCCCTTTGGTGCTGCGTTGCTTCGCGGGTTTGGGTGTTGCGTCGGCAGTTTTTAGACTTCGAGGCTTGACCCCTTTGGTGCTGCATTGCTTCACGGATTTGTGTGTTGTGTCGAAAAGTTTGGGACATCGAGGCTTGACCCCTTTGGTGCTGCATTGCTTCGCGGGTGTGGGTGTTGCGTTGGCGGTTTTTAGACATCGAGGCTTGACCCCTTTGGTGCTGCATTGCTTCGCGGGTTTGTGTGTTGTGTCGAAAAGTTTGGGACATGGAGGCTTGACCGCTTTGGTGCTGCATTGCTTCGCGGGTGTGGGTGTTGCGTCGGCGGTTTTTAGACATCGAAGCATGACCCCTTTGGTGCTGCATTGCTTCGCGGGTTTGGGTGTTGCGTCGGCGGTTTTTAGACATCGAGGCTTGACCCCTTTGGTGCTGCATTGCTTCGCAGGTTTGGGTTGCGTCGGCGGTTTTTAGACATCGAGGCTTGACCCCTTTGGTGCTGCATTGCTTCGCGGGTTTGGGTGTGGCGTCGGCGGTTTTTAGACATCGAGGCTTGACCCCTTTGGTGCTGCATTGCTTCGCGGGTTTGGGTGTTGCGTCGGCGGTTTTTAGACATCGAGGCTTGACCCCTTTGGTGCTGCATTGCTTCGCGGGTTTCGGTGTTGCGTCGGCGGTTTTTAGACATCGACTCTTGACCAATTTCGTGCTGCATTGCTTCGCGGGTTTGGGTGTTGCGTCGGCGGTTGTTACACATCGAGGCTTGACCCCTTTGGTGCTGCATTGCTTCGCGGGTTTGGGTGTTGCGTCGGCGGTTTTTAGACATCGAGGCTTGACCCCTTTGGTGCTGCATTGCTTTGCGGGTTTGGGTGTTGCATCGGCGGGTTTGGGACATCGAGGCTTGACCCCTTTGGTGCTGCATTGCTTCGCGGGTTTGGGTGTTGCGTCGGCGGTTTTTAGACATCGACGCTTGACCCCTTTGGTGCTGCATTGCTTCGCGGGTTTGTGTGTTGTGCGAAAAGTTTGGGACATCGAGGCTTGACCCCTTTGGTGCTGCATTGCTTCTCGGGTGTGGGTGTTGCGTCGGCGGTTTTTTTAGATATCGAGGCTTGACCTCTTTTGTGCTGCATTGCTTTGCGGGTTTGGGTGTTGCGTCGGCGGTTTTTAGACATCGAGGCTTGACCCCTTTGGTGCTGCATTGCTTCGCGGGTTTGGACAACGAGGCTTGACCCCTTTGGTGCTGCATTGCTTCGCGGGTTTGTGTGTTGTGTCGAAGGGTTTGGGACATCGAGTCTTGACCCCTTTGGTGCTGCATTGCTTCGCGGGTTTGGGTGTTGCGGCGGCGGTTTTTAGACATCGAGGCTTGACCCCTTTCATGCTGCCTTGCTTCGCGGGTTCGGGTGTTGCGTCGGAGGTTTTAGACATCGAGGCTTGACCCCTTTGGTCCTGCATTGCTTCGTGGGTTTGGGTGTTGCGTCGGCGGTTTTAGACATCGAGGCTTGACCCCTTTGGTGCTGCATTGCTTCGCGGGTTTAAATGTTGCGTCCGGCGGTTTTTAGACATCGAGGCTTGACCCCTTTGGTGCTGCATTTCTTCGCGGGTTTGGGTGTTGCATCGGCGGTTTTTAGACATCGAAGCTTGACCCCTTTCGTGCTGCATTGCTTCGCGGGTTTGGGTGTTGCGTCGGCGGTTTTTACACATCGAGGCTTGACCCCTTTGGTGCTGCATTGCTTCGCGGGTTTGTGTGTTGTGTCCGGCGGTTTTTAGACATCGAGGCCTGACCCATTTGGTGCTGCATTGCTTCGCGGGTTTGGGTGTTGCGTCGGCGGTTTTTAGACATCGAGGCTTGACCCCTTTGGTGCTGCATTGCTTCGCGGGTTTAAATGTTGCGTCCGGCGGTTTTTAGACATCGAGGCTTGACCCCTTTGGTGCTGCATTTCTTCGCGGGTTTAGGTGTTGCATCGGCGGTTTTTAGACATCGAAGCTTGACCCCTTTCGTGCTGCATTGCTTCGCGGGTTTGGGTGTTGCGTCGGCGGTTTTTACACATCGAGGCTTGACCCCTTTGGTGCTGCATTGCTTCGCGGGTTTGTGTGTTGTGTCGGGCGGTTTTTGGACATCGAGGCCTGACCCATTTGGTGCTGCATTGCTTCGCGGGTTTGGGTGTTGCGTCGGCGGTTTTTAGACATCGAGGCTTGACCCCGTTGGTGCTGCATTGCTTCACGGGTTTGGGTGTTGCGTCGGCAGTTTTTTTAGATATCGAGGCTTGACCCCTTTGGTGCTGCATTGCTTCGCGGGTTTGGGTGTTGCGTCGGCGGTTTTTAGACATCGAGGCTTGACCCCTTTGGTGCTGCATTGCTTCGCGGGTTTGGGTGTTGCGTCGGCGGTTTTTAGACATCGAGGCTTGACCCCTTTGGTGCTGCATTGCTTCGCGGGTTTGGGTGTTGCGTCGGCGGTTTTTAGACATCGAGGCTTGACACCTTTGGTGCTGCATTGCTTCGCGCGTTTGGGTGTTGCGTCGGCGGTTTTTAAACATCGAGGCTTGACCCCTTTGGTGCTGCATTGCTTCGCGGGTTTGGGTGTTGCGTCGGCGGTTTTAGACATCGAGGCTTGACCAATTGGTGCTGCATTGCTTCGCGGGTTTCGGTGTTGCGTCGGCGGTTTTTAGACATCAAGGCTTGACCCCTTCGGTGCTGCATTGCTTCGCGGGTTTGGGTGTTGCGTCGGCAGTTTTTTTAGATATCGAGGCTTGACCCCTTTGGTGCTGCATTGCTTCGCGGTTTGGGTGTTGCGTCGGCGGTTTTTTAGACATCGAGCGTGACCCTTGGTGCTGCATTGCTTAGCGGGTTTGGGTGTTGCG